GCCCGTCGCGCATTTAAGGCTTTTGAATCCTTAGGATGACCGCCACCCCGGTGTGGGTGATGGCTACGACTTGGCCGTTCAGCTGGATCGTTTATGAAGCTGCCTTCTGGTGCACGCCCTCTAAATGGATTATTTTGCCTATCGTTGTTTTCGTGATAACGATCGTTGGGCCAGCGCTCCACCGATTTTTGTCTCTGTTTGACCGGACTCCGACTGCGATTCTGATTCCGACTACGACCACGATTGCGACTCCGGCTGCGTGAGCTGGAGCTACTTGTGCCACTGCTGCTGCCGTCGCTGCTTGTTCCACTGCTGCTGCTGTCCGTGCTAGATGAGCGGGAACGCGAACGCTGTCGTCGTGGCGAGTCGCGTTTCTTTGAATTGCGCCCCTCTCGACGCACGGGCGAGTTTTCATAGCCATTTTTTCGCGGCCGTTCCCTTTCCTGCTCTCTGTGCCTAGACTCAGCCGCCGGCTTGTGTGTTTCCCGCCTGTCCGGTCGCACGTGGGATCTGCCGCTGTCACGTATCTGACGTGGTCGATCTCTGCGAGGGCTGCGTGAACGGCTCCTGCTACGCGAGCGCATTTTATATAGAAATATTTAATATTTGTTTTGTTAGCGCATAAAAATATTTTTCTGCTAAACGTTTGATCCTATCTGTTAATATCGTAAGAATGAACCGATATTGCAAACAGAATGTGCGATATTTAGATAACTTAGCTTTATACGATACCAAGAACATCGATATCCCATTGTTTGAACTTAATTCTTACTGTTGAGACTAGAACCAAAATTTCCATGTAAGAGCTTTCGAATAAGCTTAAAACTTACATACATTTTATTGCGTTTCTAACACTACTCAAGCACGGAAATTGAACAATATATCGATGTACGAAAATGACTGTTGCAATTTATCGATGATGCAGAACATATGAGCAACACGGCTGTAAGGCGACTGTTAAAGTGGGAAACGACGTTTACAGCTGAATGGTAAATATCAAACTTCTTCTTGCTGTGTAGTGTGACGTGTACGCGTAGCGAAAAATCACATATTTTTCTTTAATAAATTTTTCAATTTCATTTGTTTCACACGTTACTGAAGTAGGCAACACATAAAATGGGCTCATTTCGCCGCGAGAAGGATGAAGAGGAGGACGGTAAGTAATTGGGTAACAACTAAATAATACTAACAGTACCGCCGGAGCGGCAACAAAACAACTGCCAACACTGCTGACCGCAGAAGGTGCTCTGCTGGCAGCCAAAAAGAGCATAAAACAGGAGTACAACAAAATTAAGACACCCACACACACACAGTCTCAGAACTAACCCAAACAGCACACATAGAAACTGCTTTAAAGTTCTAACGTTATATATTGCCTACGGCCGGTTCAACAAAAAACATCAAAAATGAAATATTTTATTTCGAACTCGCTAAACAAACGCATAGGTCCGACGAACGCGTACCAGAATCTGGAGAAGACCTCGGTGCTGCAAGAGACTCGCATTTTCAATGAGACGCCAGTAAATGCACGCAAATGCATACACATACTGACCAAGATCCTCTACCTGATGAATCAGGGCGAGCAGCTGGTGCCGCGCGAGGCAACCGATTGTTTCTTTGCCATGACCAAGCTGTTCCAGTCCAAGGATGTTGTGCTGCGCCGCATGGTTTATCTGGGCATTAAGGAGCTGAGCTCCGTAGCTGAGGATGTCATCATTGTCACCAGTTCGCTGACCAAGGACATGACAGGCAAAGAAGATCTCTATCGCGCCGCTGCCATACGTGCCCTCTGCAGCATAACAGATCACACCATGCTCCAGGCCGTCGAGCGTTACATGAAGCAATGTATTGTGGATAAAAATGCGGCCGTTTCTTGTGCCGCATTGGTCAGCTCGCTGCGTCTGGCCAACACCGCCGGCGATGTTGTCAAACGCTGGGCGAATGAGGCTCAGGAGGCCTTGAATAGCGATAATATTATGGTGCAGTACCATGCGCTTGGCCTGCTTTATCATATACGAAAATCGGATCGCCTGGCTGTCTCCAAGCTGGTCAACAAATTAACGCGCGGCTCGCTCAAGAGTCCCTACGCAGTGTGTATGCTGGTAAGCTGGATAGAATGTTGTTAAATTGCAACTACTAAAGCTTATAATATCGCTTCCAAACAGATACGTATCGCCTGCAAATTGATCGAGGAAGAGGACATACCCGCCGATGAGCTCGCAGATTCGCCTCTGTATACCTTTATTGAATCATGTCTGCGGCACAAGAGCGAAATGGTCATCTATGAGGCCGCCCATGCCATTGTCAATCTGAAGAACACAAATCCACGCATGCTATCGCCGGCCTTCTCCATACTGCAGCTGTTTTGTAGTTCGGTTAAGGCCACGCTGCGCTTTGCTGCTGTGCGCACCTTGAACAAGGTGGCCATGACACATCCGGCCGCTGTGACCACATGTAATTTGGATTTGGAGAGTCTGATTACCGATTCGAATCGTTCAGTGGCCACGCTGGCCATAACAACACTCTTAAAAACCGGCGCCGAATCCTCTGTGGAGCGTTTAATGAAGCAGATCTCCACATTTGTGGCCGAGATCTCCGATGAGTTTAAAGTGGTGGTTGTGCATGCCATATGCGCACTCTGCGCCAAATATCCGCGTAAGCATACAGTCCTGATGAACTTCCTGAGTGGCATGCTGCGAGAGGAGGGCGGTCTGGAGTACAAGACATCAATTGTGGACACCATTATAACGATCATTGAGGAGAATGCCGATGCCAAGGAGTCGGGTCTGTCGCATCTGTGCGAGTTCATTGAAGATTGCGAGCATGTCTCGCTGGCCGTGCGCATTTTGCATTTGCTTGGCAAGGAAGGTCCATTTGCGGCCACGCCCTCCAAGTACATACGCTTCATCTATAATCGCGTCATCCTTGAGAGCCCTATTGTGCGCGCTGCTGCGGTGACTGCATTGGCCCAATTCGGCGCCTCGTGTCCCGCTCTGCTGGCCAACATATTGGTACTGCTGGGACGCTGCCAAATGGATCCGGATGATGAGGTGCGCGATCGTGCCACCTACTATCTAAGCATACTTAACTCGGCCAAGCCGGAGCTCTACAAGAACTACATCATTGAGCGTGAGAATTGCTCACTAGCGCTGCTCGAGAAGGCGCTGACGGATCATTTGAATGGCGAACTGCAAAATCACTTTGACATTTCCATTGTGCCCAAGGCCGCTATTGTTAAACCAGAGGTCACCAACGATGTGATGATGGTCACCAGTGCGCCGCGTGCACCAAAAATTACACGAGAGGAAGAGAGCGCCGCACGTTTGGCTCAGTTGCCGGGCATACAAGTTCTGGGTCCAATTCATCGCAGCACGGCGCCCATACAGCTAACCGAGAGCGAAACAGAGTATACGGTTCAGTGTATCAAGCATATCTTTGCACAGCATGTTGTATTCCAATTTGATTGCCTTAACACGCTCGCCGAACAATTCCTGGAGAATGTGCGCGTCGAGTTGACGCTACCCGAGGGATACACGGCACGTGCCGTCTTATCCTGTCCCAAATTGGCCTACAACGAGTTACAGACAACATACGTAATTGTCGAATTCCCGCCGGATGCCAGCAGTTCCATAGGTAAAGTCCAAGCTGAACTTTAATTTCTGTAATACTCAATTTTTGAATTTATTTTTCTGTTTACAGCTACATTTGGCGCCACTTTGCGTTTTGTGGTCAAGGATTGCGATCCAAATACTGGCGAGCCAGACTCGGATGAGGGCTACGATGATGAGTATATGCTGGAGGACTTAGACATGACAGTCGCCGACCAAATACAGAAAACGAAAAAGAACAACTTCCAGGTGGCCTGGGATGCCGCCGATAGTGAGGGTCAGTTTAAATATATATATATAATTGTATGACCAGGCAGAGTGTTTTACCATCTTGTCAAGAAATGTGTATGCGAATGGCAGGAGACAGCTTTGACACCATAAAGTATATATACATTATTGACCTGTACCACTAACCAGTTCGATATACATATGTCCATCTGCTATCTCTATAATATTAGGCAAAGATCCAAGATATCTCGATTATTTTACAAATTTACAAAAGTACACCAAATTTAGAATGTAGGCTCTCATATAGCATACACAGATCTTGAATGTTTAACTTTTTGATTAGATGGAATTAACATCAATTAACGACCGTCGCTAGGCTTAAGCATTCTTACTTTTAGCCTAATATTATTCTTTCATTTCTTACAGAGTGGCTACAAGCCGAAGACACCTTTGTACTATCGGCCGTTAACAATCTACAGGATGCTGTCAATACTATTCTTAAAATACTGGGCCTAGGCGCTGCAAATCTTTCCGAAAAAGTGCCCGAGGGCACGCATCTGCACACCGTACACTGCTCGGGTATGATAAAAGCAACTATTAAGCCAGCATTTGATACTAATTCTAATTATTTTGCAGGCACCTTCCGTGGCGGCGTTGAGGTGCTGGTGCGTGCCAAATTGGCGCTCTCCGAGGGTGTCACGCTGAATCTAACCGTGCGTAGCACAGATCAGGATGTGGCCGAGCTCATAACGGCAGCCATCGGATAAACTTACGCACCATGCAGAGACTTAATAGGATCTCTGCGTGCTCTTCAAATACTATAATTATGAAAAGTATATTAATTAAAGCAAAAAGTTAAATGTAATCAAAAAATATATAATGTAGCTTTAAGCGGCGCCCCCCTCAAAACAATTTCAATTTTTGCCAACTTTTTTGTGAGTTGCTTTAAAGCCTCCACTTAAATCATAATCTTTGGGTATTGTGTGAGTTTCTAAAAGGATTTTTTTGTTTTTTATAGAAACTCATTCCAGCAATCTATATTATTTGTTTATTAAAGATTTAACCTGTTTAGTCTAAGTATTCCAAAACTGAAATACAATCACAATTATATTCAATATAAACTAAGGAAAGGAGTATTCAAACAAGACAAACTAGAGTTTATTTTCGTAGCTGCAGAAACTACGTAACTTTTGGGTTCAGAGAGATATGCATTCAAAATGTTTATAGCATATGGCTAACACTCCACAGACACTGAAGAGTTTCAACTTGATTTTCGATAGACTTTTAATACAACGTGATTTGATATTGATTATAAGAATAATGAATTTCGTAATTGCGGAATTTTCTTAAAGTATCTTGAAAAACAAAAAGTATGACAACCTCAACTTATTTACTAACATAAACAAAAGAACGTATCTATGCAAGGAATAATTAGATAGCTTTCAGATTAATGGACTAGTTTACATAGACACTGACGTTTGAAAGTGACCAAGAATATATATATATATACCACCCTTTTGGGTTTAACATTTCCTCTTCTATACGCCAACCATTTCGGTAAACAAGTCAATTATTCAGAGAGACAAAGAGAACATAGGTTTGAATAGCAGAGGTTGGTATAGAAACGTTGTCAAGTCCTAGGCAATAGAAAAAATGATTGTAATTTGTTGTTAATTGATAACTGAAAACACATGTTTTCATAACAATAAGTGGCATACCTACTTATTTGCATTTGGGTGAAGTCACGATATAATTTTTTGATTGTATCGTACTCCCCCCACAGTTTTGCTTTCTCACGTTGCGAGTAAACACGATCAAAAGTTTTCAACTTATTTTGTATGTACTTTTTTTTTTTATTTAATTATAAATAACTTAAGTTGCAATTTATACAATTTTCTCATTTTGAATTCACGCGTTAACTTTTAATGCTTAAATTAGTTCTGTTTCGCTGCATTTATTTAATAATTTCTTGTGCTTTCTTTTGTTCGCAATCGATTTCACTCGCATTCCGTTTTCTATTTATTGCTTCTCGAACTTTAATAATTTGTAAATACCCAAACTCCTTATCAGTTCAATCGATACGTCAATACTCTTTCGCTTAGCATATTAAGTATTTTTTCTTTAGTTTTTTGTTTGTTTTTGTTTAAAAAGTTTATGCAAAATTGACGCAAGAGTAAAAAACACCACACGAAAGACTTTTTCTTGAAAACAATTTCACACACACGGCTAAATTTTGTTTACGTTACAATTTGTATGCTCATTGTCAGATCGATATTTAGTTTTAAAGATATCTTATGTGTGTATATTATATATATATATATATGTATAGTATTTGCATGCACTCCACACACACTTAAAACTCTAATAATTCGAAAACAAATTGTAAAAATAACGTTTTGTGTCCGCTTCTAAACTGCTTTTCCTTATCATTTTGCTTAAGAATTTAACGTTATATTCATTCTTGAATTTCCCGATGTTTTTATTTTTTTATTCATAATTTTGCCTTTTTTTTTTAATACACACTAGAGTAGATTGATATTGGCTTTCGTTATCGACGTTTCGCCTTTTTCAGTGTGTATTTCAGATTTTTGTTGCTTTTGTTTTCTGCCATTTCCGTTACTTTCTGCTTATCATGCTTTCTAGGCTGACAACAACGAATCGTCTCACATGCGATACAGATATAGATTTATATATATATATGTATACTATGCTATACTATATTACAATTAGCACACATATCTCGTGTTTTCAGTGTTGCTTAAGGTTTGATTTTGCTTTTGTTAAGGATGCGCGCATTGAGCCTGGCCGAAGCGAAAAATCACAACACTGCTCCGGCCACACATATATATATAGTATATATATATAGTGAGTCTTTGCATTTAAATTGAGGGTTTCGTTGGGGACCTTTGACTATTGTGAGCGCATGCGGTATGATGTATGTGGGTTACCTTAAACTGCTTAAACCCTACAATTAAAATAGTTAATGCTTGGATATATTTATACAGAGTGAATGAGTGCTAGCTGGTGGTGATTGTTGTTGTTATCATCGTTGTTGTTGTTGTTGGTGGTTCTTCAGCACTTGAACTTGACCATGGGTATATGCTTGGAAGACACACACTTGTCACAGCACCACTCAGCAAACACCTCCTTGTTGAGCATTTGAAAGGCCGCCTCCGTCAGTCCCACGCAGGTTCTAGAAAATATAATATTATTTAAATGAAGGATTGATTCATTATCGTGATCATACCCCAAAGGGTAGGAGCTACAAATTTTTCACATTGCAAAACTAAATGGCTGCATGTATTTTCGAGTCTTTGTGATAATTTACTGTAAACATATTACTATTTTTGAAAAATTCACATCTCTGGGTGGGAAATAAGGGGATAAGGTGTTTCCGCCTGATTGGCTTTAAACTTATTTCCATAGGCGTCTTTTTCAAAATTCATTCAAATCCGCACTACAGGGCGGAAAATGGGGGAATTAAAAGCTTTGTGCAAAAGTATTTCTTTATCCAATCGACGATAAATTGATTTGAAAGCTTTACAGATTTGTAAAAAGTGAATAAAAGACCACTTTACTTTTTTCTGATATACCACCTCAAAGATTTTTAATATAATGTGAAATATTTTGCCCGTGCAAGGCCGGGCAATATTTGCTAGTATGCCATATGAGACGTTGCTTACCTGTGAAAAAAGAAATTACAACCGGATTCACAGAAGACCGCCTCATCGTTGTCGTTGACCTCCTTGTGGCACATGCCGCATGGATATATGGGCGGCGCATTTGGATTCTGCGGGTTGAAGACCATTGGTTGACCCGGTGGATACATTTTGCCACCGCTCATTGTCATGGGCTTGCCCATAGGGCCGCCCATGTTGCCCATAGGACCACCCATGGGGCCGGGACCCATGTTGCCCATAGGACCCGGACCCATGGGGCCACCACCGCCGCCACCGCCAAACATGTTCGGCCCGCCCATCGGACTGTGTCCGTGGCTGTGATGATGTGGGTGTGAGTGTGCGTGGTGAGGTGGCATTCCGTGATGCGGTGGCGGTCCATTCATGCCGCCTGGTCCCGGACCTGGTCCTGGCACACCACCCATATGACCATGACCCATGTGTGGGCCAGCATTGCCGTGTGGACCCATCATGTGCGGATTACCGCCGCCACCCCCCATATGGGGTGGCATGCCGCCTGGACCGGGACCATGCATGCCCGGTCCGGGTCCCATCATGTGATGTGGAGGCAGACCACCAGGATGCGGATGATGCGGGTGCGGATGATTCATGAGCTGCGGGTGCGGTGGTCCTCCAAGGTGTGGCGGTTGCTGAGGCGGCAGCATTTGATTCATGCCCATGCCCATGGGACCACCAGGGCCGTGACCAGGTGCACCTGGTCCGCCCGGTGGTCCAACCATATGGACGCCCATAGGGCCATGCTGCTGCTGCTGTTGTTGTTGTTGCTGTTGTTGTTGCTGTTGTTGTTGCTGCTGTTGTTGCTGCTGTTGTTGTTGCTGCTGTTGTTGTTGCTGCTGTTGTTGTTGCTGCTGCTGCTGCTGCATAGGAACATTTGGATTCATTTGCTGGCCCATCATGGGTCCATTGTTGTTGCTCATGTTGTTGTTGTTATTGCTGTTGTTGCTGCCAGGACCGCCGCTTAGAGCTGGCGACTGCAACGGACTGGGCCCAGAATTGGGCATGCCCGGACTGGGACCGGCGCTATTTAACGCATGATGCGGTGACATGGCGGGCGGCGCTGGTGAGGACGTAGGCACTGATGTGGTCGCTGTTACCGATGTTGACGTCGTCGTCGCCGCTGTCGATACTGCTGATGACGCCACAGGCATTGGACCGTTCGATTGCATTGAATTGGGCACACCGCCCAGACGGCCACCTGCCGCCGCTGGCGACAGATGTGGATGAGGATTTTGATTGTTGTTGCTGTTGTTGGGATTGCTGCCATTGTTGTTATTGTTATTATTATTATTATTGCTATTGTTGTTGTTGGACGCATTGCCACCCATCATGTTGCTGTTATTATTGTTGTTGTTGCTGTTGGCTGGCGACATGCCACCGGGCCCAACTAAACCGCCCGGCCCAGGACCCGGACCAGGACCTGGTCCACCGGACATGTGACTGTGATTTGTTGGCCCATTGCCCAGCGGACTGTGCAGGGGCGGCGGACCCATTTGTCCATTGTTCATGTGCGTCTGTTGCGGGTTTTGTGGCTGCTGCTGCTGCTGTTGGGTTCCTGGTTGCTGTTGGCCCGGCCCGGGCCCAGGTCCTGGACCCAGTGGACTACCAATTTGATTGCCCATGGGTGAGCCCATTGGCAGCGAGTTCATTGGCGAATTCTGTCCGGGCATCTGTCCACCAGCACCGCCCATGGGCGATCCCTGCATTGCACGCGGATTAGGCCCGTTGGGACCGCCCATGGGTGATAATCCGCCCATACCCATATGATGTGGGGATATGCTTGGTCCTCCCATGTTGCCCATTGGACTCATGCCGCCCATGCCAGCCATTGCACCCATTGGACTGCCCATGGGTACTCCGCCAGCTCGACCATGATTCATGTGCGGCGGCAGTCCAACGCCGGGTCCCATGCCATGCGGATGCACGCCAGGTCCTAAAGGACTCACGCCAGGTCCCAAGGGGCTCATGCCACGCATGGGTGGAGGTCCACCCATATGATGCGGTCCGTGTGGCCCATGGCCCATGGGTCCGCCACCGGCGTTTGGATGATGCGGATGTGGATGCATATGCGGATGCATGCCCATGCCCATGCGCTCCTCCCAATGCGGGTGCGGGCCAAAATGGCCGCCGGGTCCGCCGGCGCCGCCCATTTGATTCATAGCCGCCATGGCAGCGGCTGCTGAGCTGGACATGGCAGATACCTGGGGGCTATCATCGAACGGATTGGAGGCGACAATTGTATCACCGAAACCGCTCATCGGCGGCGGTGGCAACAAATCCTGCGGTGTTGGCGGCGCCGATTGTTGTTGTTGCATCGAATTGGCAGCGGCAGCCGCCGCAGCTGCCGCCGCTGCAGCAGCTGCCGCCGCCGAATTAGCCGCATTTGATGTTTTCCGTCGTTTTTTCGGATTACTCGGCGCCGAGATGATATCCGTCGGTGGCGGCGGCTTAAAATCAGGCGGACAGAGACCGCCCGCTGGACCCGGCAAACGATATGGCGCCATACCGATATTGTGGGTCATATTCGAAGTGTTTTTCTTCCGAATGGTGGCAGCTTTTCTTTAACTACGGGGCGAACGAAAATTTCTATCTAATGGCGTCGTCGATCCGCGGGATCACGACGCGTTTATTCAAAATACAAATTGTATGGAAATGCGGCTCTCGATGTTTGCTTCCTTCAGCCGAGCGGGGCTGCCAACCTGTGCGAAAAGGAGCTCCTTGAGTGTTCTATAGATTTTAATTAATTGCTGCACCATTTACCACTGCATCCCAATGTGAAAAGTGTCCAAAAAAAAATATATAAACCTCTGTGAGGACAGAAGCCGCCACAAATGCGACTACCTTGGCAATTTCAGAGCTGGCAACTCTACGCGCGCATGTCGTCAGCGTTGGCAGCGTCTCTGAGCAGCGTAGCGCCAAGCAGCAGCAGCACCTGCAGCACAAATAACACAATATGCGATATTGGCTGCACGTTGCAATAATTAACCGTTTTGTTTTTTTTTTTTTTATTTGATATGATTAATTGATTTTGTTAGACACAGCGCTGATTATCTTTTCGTTTTTTTCTTTAATTACAATTTTCTCACTTACTGGCTCTTCTTCTTGCCACCGATTTAATGTTCTTTTTGCACCACCACCGCAAAGCAGCGGCAGCAATTTTGCTGCGTTTTGTTATAAATTACACTACAAATTGTGAGCGCATTCTTATGTGCGGCAATCCGAAATGATTTGCACGTTTTTAATTTTCAGCATGCAGTATTGCCGTTTGCGCACGCAAATATCATTCGTGGTTTTAGTTTTTTGTTGATGGCCGCGGTGTCCGACTATATTTTTATGTGTGAATTGGTTGCTGCGTAACCATTTGAACACAAATAACACATAATTTTGGGTTGTTTAGCGCCACACTTGGTCATTTGTACGCCGATGCGTTTAAAATTTGTGCGTAACTATAATAATTCGGCAATTTTCGTATGCGAAGCGTCGTGGATTCTAAAATATAAATAATTTTCCTCGCCTGTCAGCCAAGGTGACCGTATTTCGACAACAACCAAATACCAAAATTCCATTCTTTATTTTATAGTTGGGGTGACCATCAATCCATATGCGTGTTCAGCCCATCGATATGCTATTTAGATAATATCGATAAGCAAAAACTTTAAACATGTTTATGGCTTACATTGATTTGTAAGCCATATAGCAATAACATATATAAATAAATCTGCTTAGTATTTGGTCTTCAGGTGTATAAAATGTGGCAAGAAGCATTTTTATGCCCACTCAATGGAACTATCGAAACTATCGCCATTAGATGATGTTAACTCTCATCCCTACTGGCAAGTGACGCTTACAATTTTGGCGCTGGCTGATTTAAATTTGTTTTTTTGTATCGACTAAAAGTTTGCGTGCTTAACAATGTGGAGCAACTTTGAAGCGTCTACGGTAGAGGATGAGACCATTTCCAACGCATTTTCCTCGCGCAGCATTTTCAAAATAAGCAGCGAAGATGGGGTGAAATACACATAAAATTAAAAAAAAAAAACAATCATTAAATAATTTTGTTTGCTAGGTTGCGAAATATCCGACTATTCAAGCCTCTGTGCAAAGTGGCAAAATGGTGATATCGATTGATAAGAGTCTGCTGCTCCTCGAGGATGAGCTGGTGGCCAAGTGCAGTTTTCTCAGTTTTGGCGCACAGATCGATGCAATTGCCATATCCAACAGCGGAAACCTGATTGTGTGCGGCCTAACGGATGGCGAAGTCCATGGCGTATATATCAAGGGCTTGTTGCTGTTCAGTGTTTGCATCAAAATGGAGGATGTGAGCATCAATAGTGGCACATTTACAAGCATACAGCAATTGGAACAGCACTTTTACTTTACCTGCAAAAATGGCAGCGTCTATTGGTGAGTAGAATCCGCACTCAAATATAGTGATTATGTCGCTCAAACACTTTCACGTTTCTAGTCTGAGTGAGTTCAACGAAGGCCAGCTGGAATCACTATCCAATGTTACGTTAAATGATAACGAAAACATGGCTGCACTTCTGGATGATGTCACCATTGAGCGCACCTCCGCTGGACGTGCTGTCAACAGTGTGGACAGCGCTCTGCTGCTCAAGCAGCCAACAGGCCTCGGCTATGTCATCAACAATCAGGAGTCGCTAATTGCTGCTCATGATCTGATTATAACTGGCGCACAGGGCACACTAAATTTTAAAAGCGCTTCTAATGATGTCACTCGCATCAATTTGCCAACGCATCTGGGCAGCATAAAGGACACATACAATGCGGAGCATTATATGTAGGTTTGAGCATACAAATTTCTGCATATTTTCAATTTTTTGTTGTTCTCTATGCTCGCAGCATTGCCTTGACCCATTCTGGCCACCTGCTGCAGATTTGCCCGTTCACGCGAACTGTCAGCTTGAGTCAGTCGACGCTGAATCGCACGCTGCTCGTCGAGGACATGCTGGTCATGGAGTCCAGCGAGGAGCATGTGGAGCTGTTAATACTTACCAAGCCCACAGCAGATGGCGAGCGTTTTATTAAGATTGTCGAATATCCTTGTAAGTTTTGGTCTAATTCGTATTTGATCCTGCTCAGTGCAGCAAAGCATTCAAAAAGTTGTATTGCTTCTGCTTATCCCGCAAGTCGATAATGAGATAGATAGCGGCAGCTATGCTTAATTTTATTTACTTGATTTACTGACTGATTGTCAACTTTTTAGCGCTCAAGTGCAAAAACGAGGTGGAGGTGCCGCTGCACGCCTGGCTCATACGGCAACCGAAGAGCGCCGTTAATTTATATTATCTGGCTGCCCGGGCGATTAGTGAGAGGGAAATTCCTTCGGAGCTGGAAATGATGATGGTCTCCGAGACGGATCCCAGTGATCGTTTAAAGAAACTCATTGCTAAGGGACGTCTGGAAGAGGCGGAGGTAGCTGCTTGATTACGTCCTATCAGTATAAAATTAGTTTTTTATTATGTCTCTGCTTTTGCGAATTCGTCCAGGACTTTGGCAAACAATTTGAGCTGTGTTTGCAGCCAATCTACGAGGCCAGAGCCAAACGTATTCTCATCGAGCTGTGCAATTCGAATACCCACAATGCGCAGTCCTCCGATCTGGAAGAGAAGTTTCAAATGCTGCTTAAATTGCTGGGGCAGATTGAGAGCAAAGCGTTTCTCAAAAATAATCGCATGATTAATTTAAGTTCGCGTCAAATTTTGGAGCGTTACTTAAAGGAAATACAGAAGAGATTGGATTTTGAGGTGAGGGCTTAAAAGAATGCTAAAACACGCTTATAAATATATTCAATATTCGCACACAGGAAGATGAGCTGCACATGCTGGAAATAGATGAGCAACTGCATCGCCTTAAAACGTTGGCCATCATTGATCCCTATGAGTGCAACACCGAGTGGCAAAAGTTCGTGTACAACACGAATCTAGTGAGGGTGGTCAAGGGCATGTTTAGCAACGACATGCCCTCCGCCTGTCTTATCTGGCGGCGTCACTCGAGTAGCATTTTGCCGCATCTCAGCGAGGATGAATTGCGCACACTGCTGGGATTCATACCCAGCAATACCGAACCACTAAATGTGGTGCAGTGGTTGCGCCAATTCGTGCCCATGGTCAGCAGTACGCATCCAACCATTATGCCGTTTATTACCGACTGGAGCATTGAGATGACCCGCAAGCTGCAATATAGCGAACACTGGCCCGATATTGGTCTCGAATTTGCGAGCAATATTTTAGAAATATTCGAGGAAGTTCAATTTATCTACTCGTGAGTTTTTTGTTGCTGAAAATCATTGAAACGAAATGCAACTCTTTTTGCTTTTTTCAGCCATTTGGGTCGCCAGCAGGAGCGCAACATTGGCAAGCTGCGCGATCTGGTCAATGCTCTGCAGGATTTATCAGTATTAAAAACGAGCTACAAGCTGGTCTTTACACTGGATAACTATATGCAGGACTCCATAGATGACAAAGCTTTGCGCATATTACAGCGCGTGCATTTGGATAATTTACAGAACCTGGTAAAGGATTTTCTATATCCCATCTATAAGGAGAAGGGTCGCCAGCCTTTAAATGTCATCAAACAGTATATAGCTCAATTGGTGGGCAATCGTCAATCGCTTAGCAATTGGCTGGAGCGCGCGATGGCCTGCATAGAGCTGCTGCACAACGAGGACAGTCGCATGGAGTGCGCCCTCTCGATACTACAAAATGCGCCAGTGCCGTGGCCAGAAACGGTGTCACCGCTTATTAAACTACGCAATTCCACCCATCCGCTGAGCGCGAAGATCAATGCTGAATACGAGATACAGGTCATAAAGATCATGAAGGTCAAGTATGGCTGGCCAGCGGATAGCGCGGCTGACATCAATCTGGAGCTATTTATGATGCGCATTGTTAAGCTAAATTTGCCGGACATGCTGGACGATATACACACACTGACAAAAGCAGCGCCAGAGATCTCCACCAGCGCCAATTTCAATTGCTGCTATCAGATGGCGCGACGTGGTCAAATTGAGTTAGCCTATGAGTTCTTCAAGTCGCTAAAATGCAAATATATTGAAAAACAAGGCAGCGATGTTGTTGATATCCTGGCCAATCTGCTCGAGATGAGCTCGGGCTCGTTTGTGAACGAAGCCAAATTGCAGGAGCACGTTAATCTGCTGGAGTTATTCAAGCTGTTGCTGCCGCATGTGGACTCTGCGTACAGTCAGCGATATCTGCTCATCAAACATTGCTTTCAATTGCGCCAAAAGTTCAATTTGCAGCTAAGCGCCAGCAGTGATCTGATATCGCTGCAAAGACGCCTGGAGCTGCTCGATGAGGGCATCGAGCTGATCATGTCACGCGCTCAGGCCGCATTGAATGTTTGCGCTTTTATAGTCAGTGAAATGGCTGAACTATGCGGCGCACTTGGTCTGCAAAAGGTGCAAGGACTGTTGCGCATCAGCCAGCGCATGGGCTGTCTGCCGCTCAGCTGTGCGTTGGCTCATCACGTACTGGAATTCATCGACTGTGTGCCAGAGAACAGCGTTGAGTTTATCAACTTTGCCATTGAGCTGCTGGTGCAGCAAATTAACGAGACCAAGAATAATGGTCTTGGTAAGTATTTAGTCTGATTAACCGACTAACTAATTATTAATCAGCGACGGGCTTAAAGATTCTGCAGTAGTAAGTATTAATGATGGATCTATACATCATCATATCTAGTTGTTTACAAATGTATGTAAACATTTATTTATGTCTGTCGTGTTTCATCAATTAAAAAAAAATCCACTCTAGAAAAACAAGCAGAAAGCTGTTAAAGGATAATTTCCGTTCCTTTGTCCGATTGGCTTTAAAATTCTATATATCCGCTTTTATAGTTTAAATGAATTGATTGATAGTTAAAACTAACAGAAAACGCGTTAGGTCTTTGGGAAAGTCAAGTAATTCTTGTTAGTAAACTAATTAAATACTTTGTTTTCTCGCAACAGAGATGTATTCTTCGCTGAAGATGTTGAACGAAAGTGATCCTTTGAGCTTTCCACTGGCCTACGAGCTGTTAACGGAGGCGCTGTTGCACGAGCGCAGTCGCCAGCGCGATCTTAATGAGCTGATTAAGTATGTTCGCGTCGCAGTCATACACTATCCGATGGATGTCATAGAGACGCACTATCTGGGCAAGGAGAAGAGCATAAACGATCAAATCTGCCGCGCGCTGGATGGCGCGCCAATTGCACTGGGCGAAACAACGCTAAATTTCTCCACGGCGGTCAATGAGTCTATTGAGGTGAAATTGGCTGTGGAGCACACGACCAAGAAGCGTTACTCCGTGTCTATGTTCGATGATGTCGATGTGCAGCCACAGAAGCAGCCGCTGCAGAAGGTACGGGGCGATTTCGCTAGCTCAACTTCAAAAAATTGATTACAATGTGTATACCCTTTAGAAACGCATGACTGGTAGTCTGCCCATTGTCAAGTTCTTGGCGCGCACACTGCTTCTGATGACCATTCAGACGAAACAAAATAATTCGTTGTTGCTGCAATTGCAACAGCTGCTGCCGGAGAATGTCAAGGGCGATATTGATGGCGCTCGTTCCGATTTCTTTTTGTCGCTGGAACATTTGACCAAGGCCAAGGAGCACGACGTCTGGTATATAATGTCACAGTATCTGCTGGAATATCAGAAACAGAATCGCAGCGGGAAGATCATTAACGAGGGTTTCATTACGCTGCAATTACGCCGCATCCTGCGCAATGCCATGAACAACAAGGAGGCCAACTTAATTGGTAAAACTTTCAAGCGTTTGCCTAATCTCCGCTTTAATTGCTTCAAACTCTTTCAGAGCTTTTCACCATGCTGGTAGCGGATACCGAATCCCGGGCCCTGCTGGACAAGCTGTCCGTGGAGGTGAAAACGGATCAGCAGAAAATACATTTTCTCACGCTCTCCGCCATGTACAATGAGCATATTGACGAAATGGATTATGTACAAGTATTGCGTGCCAAGTATGTTAAATTCTAGGGGTTTTTTTTTTATGTTTAATCCGACTTTCGCATTTCAACAGACGCAACAAGCTGTATTACTATTTGGAGTTCTGCCAACAGGATCCGAGTATTAAAGGCAAATTCAATGCCGATGTGGACAACATTGATCAGCTGCTAAAGGAATTTCACAACAAGCGTCTCAACGTGCAGCTGCTGGAACGAATGAGCACCGATTTTGGCTTGGATTATCAAAAGATGCTCATCACACAAATATTGAGCATATTGAATGCACAAGAGCTGCGCTATGAAATTAAAACGGATACGTTTGGTGACGAAGAACTGGTCATGTTAAGCAGCGTGCACGAGATACGGGATATGTGCCAGCCCTATATAAATGAAATTAAGAATGAAGAGCTCTTCACTTCCAAGCTGAAGCAGTTCATTGAGGAGATCAACATATATTTCTATGAGCTGTATCTATGCGTTATTGAGATTCTTATGTTCTTCGATGCAGCGCCCAAGCAGATGGAAACCTGGATAAATATTTTACATTTCCTGCGCCACAAGATGATCAGGCGACGTCGCAATCGACCTGGTCAACTGGAGACGGACATGTGGCTGCAGTCGCAAAAGGAGAACGGAGTGCTGCCCAAGATTGCGCGCTATCGCCTTCCCTTTAAACCCATTGTGGAAAAGCCTCTGAAAGACATTCTCGGTGGGTTGTTGTGCTAGACGCTTATAGATTATTTGTTTATTTATTAAATTGATTCTGCAGACAGCGAGCTCAACGTGGACAACTGTCAGAGCTGGTTCCCCCTCATACTCATGTGCACTTCGCTTAAGAACTCCAAGGATATCTCACAGAATTGTGACTACTTTTGTATGGCAGCCGTTAAGAACTCTATAGCCGAGTACAAATCGAAAAACGAGTCGGAATCCTGGAGCTTGCATCCAACCAATAATGCATTCCTTAAATCGGTACGAACTTGAGGTTCATTTCCCACAGCTTGCAGTTTAATTTGAAGCCCTTTTTACTTGCAGATACTCCGTTTGGTTAAAAACGTGCACAGTCCCAGCAAGGTGTTCCTTATCTTGTATTTTGTTGCCGGCTATGCGCCTGAGGGTGCCGATCAGGTGGAAGCCTCCTATGAGTGCTGGAAATATGCCAAGGACCATGGCTCGCTTACCAATGATCCCAAGTGCCAAGATCAGTTGGCAAAAATCAAGCGAAGATATCCCATACAAAAGACACAACATTTGCTCTACGTTTATGGCATGACCGATGAGAAACTGTTGCGTCTGGTAGAGCATCCCATAGAGCTAATACATAGCCTATACCATCACGAACTGATACTCAAGTCCAGCAAGGTGGACATCAATGCGCTGGTCAAAGAGATTTGTGCATTGCACGAGCTCACCCTAAGTAACATACAGTTTAAGCTGTTGCAGCATTGGCTGTCCGTCACAATGGAGACCACAGACGGTACTATCTTAGAGGAAACTTTCCTTGAAGATCAGAACTGGCCGGAGCATGGCAGCAACGGTAATGGCGATGATACCGGCAATGCTAGCGAAAATGTTGTGCGCGCATTTTATTTACTCAGCAGCTGGCCCAAATCGGAGGCGGTTCAGTTCCTGGTGGGCCTCATCTTTAAGGGCGGGTAAGCTAGAAGCCAACCATAGGAGTTTTGATCTTGTATCTGTGTTTGTAACCTTCTGCTTTGGCAGCCCTGTCAACACCTCCACGCAGCTGCAGATGTACGAGTGCTACTCTAAACTCAATGATGGTAGCAATTCCTTCAGCAACACCATTAACCAGCGCGAGTTCATCACCATCAAGTGTGTCCACAAATTGAAGGCTCTCGGCTACAATTCCAATATAGAGAAATTCGCTGATGACAACTGCGATAAGATTAACATCTTGAAGATGGTCTGGCAACGCAATGCACAGAATCCACTCTCGCTGGAGGTGATGGCAGACATTTGTCTGGGCTTCGATATACATTTGCCCAAGATCTGGAATGGTATACTAAAACGCATGGTTATATTCAATATGGTGCGCGAGCTAAACGCATTGGTCGATGTACTCAGCTGCAAGCCGCAGCTTTTGCATTTAGATGGTCTTGCACTGGCTTGGGACTGTGTGTTGACGCATCCGCTCAAGAATGCAGTGCAAACGCGCTCAATTGTGCTGGAGGAGCGATTGCAGAAAACACTGCTGCGTCTGCAGGGTTGCCCGGTGGTGGACGCACTGAATCTATATCAGTTTGCCGAGCTCTGCATGCTCATCCATCGTCCACATATGGCCGCTACGGTGCTTATTTACTGTCAAAGCACCGAGCAGCGCGAAAAGATAAAGAAGGTAAGTTTAAAAGATATACTAGGTTTTTAATGTTGTTCTTCAAATAATCGCGTTTTGTATTTGCAGCTTATTACGTCTAGACATGTGGACAATTTGCGCCAGCAGATTCTGGAGCTGGAGGATGCCGGCTTGATACCAATGGTTCTTAACTTTGCACTGAAGGAATTGAATCTCTAGTGAATCATATGAATCAATCAGTATATATGGAATGTGAATTTGTTAATTTGAATACATATTGAATACTTTCGTATTAAGTGTAATCTTGAGATTAGAGTAGCATTAAAATGTGAAGGAGCATTCCCATCGATTTAAAAGGGGGGTTTCAATACTTTTGTCCCAAAGAAACCTTAACTATATAAAGAAAATCTTATCATCGGATCACTATATAGTCTACCTTTCAGCTATTATTCTATTTAGGTATATCCATCCAAACAAACCCAAGGAATCTGCGTTAGATCTTTATATATATATTCGTAGTTCACATGCATATACAGATATTGATTATATTCAATTAAGTTTCCTAACAATATTTGATTTGTTGTTAGATTATTCGAGCTATTACAATCTAATTAAATAAATCGCTAATCAACAAATATTAACGGCATTAATGACGTCACGAAGCGCCGCTAATGAACAGTGGAGCAAATGCAGCGGATAACCTAATTAGCTGCAGGCGCATTGTTTAATTACATGCAAGCAAGCGGGCACATTTTAATTGATGATAAATGTAGACACTTGTACTCCTTTAGATGAGATAAGATAAAAAGGAGAAAACTAAATTATTGGCAAAATCTAATCATACTTAAATAATTAGCCGCAACGCATTTGAAGCGATTAATGCTTTGCCTTGGCCCACGGTGCGCAGTCAAAAATCAGCTGTTCGCACTCATACTCATACATATACATATGTATGTATGTATTCAATGTGTGTACATAAGCGCCGCGGCCACCTCTAGTTCTGGGTCAAAACTCAAACACAGAACGAAAAATCGCATTTAATTCAGTTTTTGAACAACTGTAAAATCAAAATGTTGCGTACTTTCGTGGGAGCACAAAAGTGTTTCGGCCTGGTTAACAGAAAATGTACACAGGCGGCGTCTATGAAATTATGCACTGCCCATATCGCGCCTCTGACCTCAATATTGAGCATGTGAGTAGCAAAGCGTTTAAGTAACAGCTATAACTAAACGAAAACTTTGTGTCTGCCTAGCCGACATTATGCGCCGCCCACGCACATCAAACAATCGGCGGTGCCCAACGATTCCGGCACCATGTCGGAGAGTAAGTCCATCCATAATCTCTAGTGTATAACCTTAGTTAACTCTATGATCGCACAGTCAAGCAGCAGATGATGCAGCGTCTGGGCTTGGAGCCGGGCTATCAGCCGCTGCCCAAATCGCGGGAGCATCTGCTTAAATATCAACCAAAGCTGGAGGAGTTGCCGGCGCGTGCCATGCAGGATTCGTTTACCTCGGCCATAATACCACTCAGCACGAATCGTTCGCTGCAGGATAAATATGTGACGTATTTGGGCAATGTGCGCATGGGCAGGCTGCTGGAGGACATGGACATGTTTGCTGGTTCGCCTCAGTCTATCTTTATTAATATTGTTTATCAATGTAATTAGCTTATCGTTGTAGCCTGGTGCTGCCACAAGCATTTGGTGGTGCCCCAGCTGCCCGCAGATGTGCATTTGCCGTACACCTTTGTGACCATACTCGTGGATCGTATTGATTTCGCCAACACCCTTGCCTCCGGCACTGAGGATATACGCCTCTCCGGCCATGTTTCATGGGTGGGCACAAGTTCCATGGAGGTCGTCGTTTGGCTGGAGCAGATGCAAAACGGCGGCTATAAGAAGCTGACCCGTGCGCTGTTCCTTATGGCCGCGCGCAATGCTACCAACACGGCGGCGGCGCCCGTAAATCCCATTAAGCCAGCCAACGAGGAGGAGTCGGTTATTCTAGCCGGCGGCATAGATCGCAAAAAAAAGCGCCAATTGCTGTGCGCACAGTCCATCTTCAAGGTGGAACCCAACGATCCGGAACAGACGCTCATGTACGAGCTGTACAAGCGCACCACGCCCACCGACACCATGGAGCTGAACAAACGCATATTGCCGCCTAACTGCCGCTGGATGTCCGATTCCTATCAGATGAGCACCATACCATCGTTTCCCGAGCATCGTAATCATCATAACCGGGTCTTTGGCGGCTTTCTAATGCGCACCGCTCTGGAGATTAGCTGGGCGGCCGCGGTGCTCTACTGCAAGACGCGTCCCAAGCTGGAGCACATTTCGGACATTAGCTTCGAGAAGCCCGTGAGCGTGGATTCGTTTATTAAGATGACAGCCTATGTGGTGTACACGAAACTGAACTATGTGCAGATTATGACCGTGGCCGAAGTGCTGGACCCGCACAGCGGCAGCCAGGTGACCACCAATACCTTCTACTACACCTTTTCGGCACCGCATACGGTGACCGAGGTGCTGCCACGCTCCTACCACGAGACCATGTGGTATCTTCAGGGACGTCGCAAGTTCGAATATAGCATGGGTCTCAAGAAGACATAAGTTGAGGATTGTAAACGAATAACGATAATTAAATACGACGTGAGGCTATGATAAGGAGGCGCTCCGCTGGCAATAATACCACAGACACAGGGAAGACTCTTAAAGTTGACCGCACTCAAATGCAGTACCTTGTTTTTTTCTAAAACCAAACTAATATTATGTTATATCATAGCTTAAATCTTAAGTTTCCTTCTAACATATTGTGCTTAATTTAAAAGTGGTCACTCGCAAAGTTAGAAAACGATTTGTATTATCTGAAAGTTAAATTAATGAATACCCTAATTTGTATTTAATTATTTTTATAGACATATTTCAAAATCTCAAAAAAGAGCAAGAAAAAGTAAATGTTGTTTTCCTTAATAAAAAAATGTCAACTCCGATTTTTAGACAATTCTAATAACCGAGTGAACACTGTAAAATAAAATGCAGCTTAACTCATCTTGTCAAGCAAAAATATATAGTTATAAAGCTGTTTAGTTTTAGTATAAGCGAAAACCTTATATGTAGTTAAGTGTTTGCCAAATCCAGTCGAATACTCGGCGGTCAACATAGGCAGTTCTTACTGTACCTGTACTAACAAAACTACTCTGTAATAAAACCTTGTTGTTGCAATGCTCCCGTTGGAGACTGATAAACTTACAATTTGGCGACTGCCTGAGATATGTCTGCTATATAAGATCCGAGAGTAGCTGATATCATCCCCCCCCCCCCCCCCCCACACACCCCCTCATCGCCCTGCTGCTTTGTCTAGTGCTCTATGCAAATATTCTCATTAATTTTTAATTGTTTTTTTTTTTTAATAAGTATTCATTTTTATTTTGGTTTTTATCTTGGCACAAATTTTTAGAAAAACTTTTAAAATGCAACGTGTGAGAGGACTGCGACCCATGATCCCGGGCACATGGCAATATTTGTCCAGGTGAGGCATGGCTAGCTGTTGGAATCTCTCAAAATAAGAAACGTTGCAGAGCTCAAACAGGGTTGCGCCTGCCTTATGCTATGCGGCACTATGAGATGGGTGAATTTTTGAAGGAGCAATCGGACCATTATTCGGGCACCATGGCGGAAAGTAAGCTTCAATACCAACAATACCAACGCTGTGCATGATTTTAGTCTGGATACAATTGCAGTTGTGGAGAAGATACGTAAGCGAGTGGGCGCGGAAATAGGCTATCATATCGTACCCAAGTCACGAAAGCATCTGCTGAAGCATCAGCCCAAGCCGGAGCAGCTGCCGCCGCGAAGCATGCAGGATTCCTATACAACGGTCACCTTGCCGCTTAGCGCGGATGAGATCATACGAGAGCGTTACATCAATCACCTGGGCAGAATGCGTATTGGTCGCCTAATGGAGGACATGGATATGTTTGCAGGTGAGCCGAACAGCACAAGCATCCCGTGTATATTACTGTTTAATTCGCTTGCCAGTTTGGCTGTGCCATCGTCACATTAACGTGCCGGAGCTGCCCGAGGATGTGTCTTTGCCGTACACTTTTGTCACACTGCTGGTGGATCGTATCGAGTTCACAAACATTGTTGATTTGCAGGTAAACAAGGATCTTGAGCTGAGCGGTTTTGTATCCTGGGCGGGTCGCACTTCCATGGAGATAACAATCTATGTGCGCCAGCTTCTGGATGGGGAGTATCTGAACGTGACCAAAGCGTTGTTTCTGATGGTCGCTCGCAATGCAACCAACACGGGCCCTGCGCCGGTGAATAAGATTAAGCCCGCCAATGAAATGGAGCAGCAATGCTGGGAGCAGGCGGACAAGCGGCAGGAGATTCGCAAAACCTCCAAGACTGAAAGTGTATTCATTTCGCCACCACTGGAGCACGAGCAGGCCATTATGTATGGCCTGCTCAAACTGACCACAGCACCGGATAGCTTCGATTTAAACAAACGCATATTGCCGCCCAAATGCCGCTGGATGGCCGACAGTCAGCGTACCACAATAATGAATCCCTTTCCAGAGAATCGCAATACACATAACACTATCTTCGGTGGGTATGTGATGCGTCAGGCCGTCGAGCTGAGCTTCATAATGGCCAGCATCTATATAAGAGGTCGTCCCATTTTGAAGTGCATATCGGACATTAGTTTCATGCATCCGGTCCAGGTAACCGCATTCCTGGAAATGACCGCCCATGTTGTGTACACCGCGCAGAACTATATCCAATTGATGACAGTTGCCCAAAACTGGGATGCCAAAAGCGGCGAGAACATAACGACCAACGTATTCTATCTCACCTACCAGACGGATTCTATTGTGGATGAGGTGTTGCCGGGCTCGTATCGCGAGATGCTCTGGTATATACATGGGCGGCGCAAATTCATGACCGCACTCAACTTGCAGTTGGATGTGCCCCAGCCCGCTAATGAAGACTGTCAGGTGAAGGAGGTAACTGCAAAATAACTAACACACGCTTAGTTTTTCGTTTTCCTCGTACCTCGACACATATAATTACGATTTTGTAATTGTTTATTTTCTTTTTACAAAATTATTTGTAATCAAAGTATTTAAAAATCCTTAAATTGAAGTTTTGTTTGGGCCAAACGCTTAGAAGCGCAGACGGTGTGGGTATTGGGAAGAGTGCAGAGCGAACATGTTTTGCAAGTACTTCTTGAAGAATTTACCCTCTGGGTGGGCCTTGATCACCTTCAGCAGGGCGCTGTCGATCTCCTTCTGGTCCTTCTTGCGCTGCTCGTTGGGCACAAAGCGCTCCTTCTTGGCCGCGAAGATGTCGGCTTCGCCGGACTTCTTTTGCTTCTTAGCCTTCAGGCGACGGAAATAGGCGTCGTTCAGATGTTCGGGTACCTTGAATGCGCCCAAATCCACCCGTGTCGAGGTGCCAATAACATAACGCTGCGAAACGCGACGCAGTGGGCACGAGTTCAGTGCAAACGGACCGGTGACCAGCAGCAGGCCAGAGGTCAGCGTCTTCAGCAGAACAACGCGCTTACCCTGATGACGGCCAGCCAACAGGATGAGCACGGTGCCGGGCTGCAGATTGCGGCGCGTGTTGCGCTTGTGCTCACTGAAATTAGCCTTGCCGGGGCGCTTCTTCACGAAAGTCTTGGTTGGATAGTTGGCCTTAGGCTTGCGCAGATAAACGGTACGCTCACCTCCGTTCTTGGGGCCTCCGATCTTCTTGACCTTCTTGATGGGCACCTTCTCCTTCTGCACGACGGGGTGCTTCTTGTCTTTCAGGCGGTACAGCGCGCGGCGCTTGTACATCTGTAAGCCAACAAATGAATATATTAAACACAAGTCTCACACATATTGTCGATTGCGAGACGAGGCAAAGGAAGCGCGTCACATCTGGTGGCAACATTTGTTGGCATCTTTTCTGAATGTGTTTTTGTCTGTTTTTACCTGGGCTTTGGAGTATCGCAGAATACCACCCTTGAGGTATGAGTTCAGGGGGTGCTTCTTGCCCTTTTTGGCCGATTTGGCGACCTTTTTAGCTTTTTCGACGGGTGCCATTGTGGAGAACACGTGTACACAGCACAAAAATTATTTAGAAAAGGAAGGTTATGTGTCACGGCATTGCCAGCACCAAGCAAAAACACTGCATGCGTGCTATCGATAGACTTTGATGCAACTCTTTGCTAACACACTTTTCAACACGACCGCTTAGAGCACTGGCTGATTATCGATAATAAATATAACATCGATTCCTACAGTTTGCCTTTTGTTATTGTTGCAAGGAATTTGAATTGAAAACGACATTTGTTTACCAGTTAATAATACTTTTTTTTCCATTTATTTGTTGTCATGTGTATACGATGTTTTTGTTGTTCTTTTACAGCTCCAGCCATATTCTATACACAATCTTCAATTGTTTTAATTGTTCTTTTTCCTGCCATGAATCGTTTTTTAAACTTAAATACAACTCGATATACAAATAAATTAAATAAATGAATGATTGATAATTTACAAAATGAGTTGATTTTTTTTGTTTTTAGTTGAAATTTCAAATTAAAACTAAAAACCTCTAGCACTTAAACAAGGCTCAGAGCTGAGAAATGTACATTTTTTGTTTCTTATTTTTTTCTGTTTTCAATGCATCAAGCATACAAAATAACTTTAAAGTTAAAATCTCATGTTAAAACTACAACTAAAATGTATGCGCAAAAGGTTAGTACATGATTTGTTCTTATTTGTACTAATAAATTAATTAATTGTACAATACTAATATAGATTTGTTTTGCATGTACTTTGTTCATTAAAATGATTCGTTTTTTGTTTATAGTTTTCCTTGCAAATATTTAACTAACTCCGCACTTAATATGTGTAAAATTTGCTAGTTTTAAAATAAGTTTACAATTAATGTCAGAATAACCGACTGGCGGCATATTTGTTCGGCATTTTGTAGAAAGTCTTAAGTCTATACTTCCTTATTATGTTGTTTTTGTTACTTTGTCTTATTTGTCACTTGCCATTTTTAAAAGTTAGACTAAGATTTAAAAGAAATTAAAAGCAAACAATGTTTTCTGCAGCCGCCTGATAATGAACACACAATTTGTTTCTGGCTCGCTTAAATATTTTAAATAGTTTACGGCAACTCTTAGTTTAAAAAACATGAAATGTTTATAGACAAAGAGTTAAAAATAAAAAAATAAATAGAATGAAGCTATTGCACATTCAGAGAGGTTTTTGAAATTTTACAGAAAATTATGTTTTATTTACATTTGCAGAGTGTGCAGAGTGCGACCTGTTTAGGTTTTTCTTTTTGCGCTTTCGAAATGTACTCACATTTGGTCAGGCGAGGGGAGGCGTCGCTTCCAAGGAGGGGGGGGGGGTTGGGGCTGCGCTTCGGCTAGTCTGGCTGGAGGTTGCTGCACACTCACAAACACACACAGAGAGCGCACACACGCACACACACACACAAAGGTAAATAAAACATTTGGATTTGTTGCAAATATTTCATCAGAAATTTGTGCGCCACTGTGCACAGTGACACGCGCATTTTATTCAAATTTACAGAAAATTGTAAGAAATCGAACGTTTCTTGCCGTCGATTTATTCATTTTTGCTTTAATGTTTGTTAAAATGAAAGAATTCTAAGAGAAAATTTTAAATCTGTTTCTTTTTTGTTTTTGTCATACTGCGGGTAGTTCTTGCACAATTTGTTGTTGTTTTTCTTTTGAATTAGGTTTTTCTTCCAGCTCAACTCAAGTGTTAAGCCTGATTTCTTTGTAGTTTTTTACGTGTATATATATATATACTTTTTACTATATAATGCATCATAATTTTGTAATCAGAGAGCGCCGCGCTTCAATTGAGAAAAAAAGTAGAACATATATTGTTAGATATAGTTGCTAATTTTTTTGATTTTTTGTTGTTTTCGTTTCTTTTTTTTTTGCTGGTTGGAGTTTTGTTATAATAATATCTATCGTATATTTAGTACAACATATGCATGGTTCTTTTGTTTTCGTTTTTACAAGTGTTTTTTTATTTATTTGTTTTTGTATGAAATAAATTAAATAGTTATTAAATTATATAACAATAAAGAAGAAGAGAAAAGTGTATATATATGCATATTTAAAAAAAAAAAAAACTAGATATGCATCTATATAAAATTGATCACTTTTGTGTATTTTGCATTGTTCCAAATACAATTCAGAAAAGGGGAAGTTCCCCCCAAAGAAAAAATAGATCTTGATGTTTGTCGTTGTTAAACAAATAATAACAAATTCATGAAGAATGTTTTGTTGTTGTTGTTGCTTTTTCTACTTGACAGCAAACTGAAATCGCTTGCAAGAATTTTCTTTTTTGTTATATATATATATGTATATAGAGCAGAAAAAAATGTTCGACTACACACACAACTACATATTGGGAATTTAGGTTTACTTTGCTTTGATTTTCTTTAATTATTATAACTGTTACGAGTTCTTAGTCATAGTTTTTCTTGAATTCTGAGCGCGGCCAATAATTATGGTTAAACTGTTTTTGTTTTTTTTCGGGTTTGAACATTTAACTTATATTTTAATAGTCTGTCTATATTTAATGAATTTTTGTACTTTTTTAGATTTTTTGTTGATTTTTTTTTCTTTTGTTTTTGTTTTTTTTTTTTTCGTTTTTAGGTCCAGTTTTTAAGTGTTTACAAAACAAACATGGAGAACAAAGAGTTATTAAAACTAATTTCAATTGTGGCGCGGGTGGTAATTGTTTTTTTTTTTGTTTTTGTTTTTTGAATTGTTTAAACAAAAAATTGCTGTCATATTCCGTATGCCTGTGCCCGCCCGTTTTGTGGGCGGGGCGGTTCGTTATCAATTCTCATATCGTTTTCTTTCACCGATCTCAAAATGGTCCGGAACGACATCAATCTTTTGTATGATGGTCCGCATCATTTCTATATAATAGTTTTTTTTTTGTTTTTTTCTTTTCATTAGTGTTTTTTTTAACGTATTTTTTGTTTTGTCTTGCCGCAAATGTTAATTGAAAAATTATATGCTGCCTGTCGCCTAAAGCAAATCAAGCTCTGGCTGGGCTGACGACTGGCTGACCTCGCATTTTTCAATAGTTTCTTAAATGGTAGAACCAGCGTAAATAATATATATATATGTATATATATGTGTATGCTAAACGAATTATGATGCATCATTTTGTTTGTTTTTAGCAATATATACACACACGCACACCCCTTGCACACATACACTAGCACACGCACACGCACAGTCACACGAATTGTGGAGCAGTTACTCAGTTCTCGTTTTAGCTGTAGATATGTCTTTTCTACTGCTGCCACAATTTGTTGCTGCTGCTGCTGCTGCTGTTGCTAATGTTGTACGCATAGATGATGATGATTCCTGCCTGCCTGCCTGCTGCTGCTGCTTCAATCCCTTCCCCCTGTTGTCCTATTATTGGGGGCTGCTGCTTTGCTGCTGGGTGCTACTAACATTGTTCGAAAATTGGAATAATGGGTGAAGTTGGCCAGTCCTCCTCCTCCTCGGAGCTAATACTCTCGGTTCTGCAAAGACAAAGAAGAATGACATTAAATAAATATTATATCATTATTAGCATTATCAAGTTGAAGGTCGACTCTCTAATCAGCCTGATCAGCTGATTTTTGCTTTCGAACACAACTTTGCACAAGTGCAATCAATTTTTTGACGCAGTGCGAAAGTCGAACCGGGCAATGAACTTAACGTGTTTATGACTAATCTGAAGCAATATACAATATACATAAGACCCACCTCACCAGATAAGAAAACAACACAAGGCCTTCAAATAAACAAAGCAAAAACAACAACAAAAATTTGGTATTGCACTGAATTTTGAATGCCGTTGCCAAAAACTGAAAGAAATATATGTATTTGTTTTCTGTTTACTCTAAACTTAGCATACTTTGCTCCAAAGCCGACGACTCAATGTCAAGAGCACTAATTAATCCATGTGAAAATAAATTAAATATACATATATACAAACATGTTTGCAAATGTTTTGTGTATATATAAAAAATCGTTAAAGGATTAATCTTTCAGTTTATTTTGTATTTTAAACACAATTAAAAAAAAATAACAAGCCTAATCTTATTGTACGTAGCACTTACATCTATACATATATGCATATATGCATAATGGATGTATTATTTTTGATTTAAAAAATAATGTAGCTTTGAAATACTCTCTCCCATATTCATTTGTTAGATCAATAACAAACAAGCTCGTCTATTATTACCTATAATTATCTAATAAGAATCTATTATAAACTTAACATATGCACGCATCCTTTTTCCAAGCAATACACAAACGCGCTGTCATATCTAATATGCCCCCTTTGGCTAGTGTATGTGGGCGTAAGTGTCAAGGTCTTGCAATGATATTGAAACTAGTATGTATGTATGTATAGAAAGAATCGATGGACAAACGCCAGAAGAGCGCAGCCCACGCCAAGCGATTGACGCACACGCAGGGGCGGAGAATTTCATAATGATGCGAATTCCAAAAATTTCTCTTAGGTAACTGTAACGGCGACCCTCGTACGAGTGTATGTGTGTGTGCGTGTGCCCTGCTGCTTAGACGGGCTCTCTGATAAGATTGTTGTTGAAAAAACAACACGCACACACACGGACAAAACAAAGTAATATAAATACATATGCATATGTATAGGTAAGTGTGTGTATATAGTAGACACATACATATTCATGTGCATATGTGTCTGGGGTGTATAGCTATAGGTGTTGTTGTTGTTTTTGTTGCTGTTGTCGGACCACTTTTGGGCAGGCAAAACCAGCCAGTGGGTCTCATGATTTTCTATGCTAGTTGTTGTTGTTGTTCCTGTCGCTGTTGCTGTTGTGATAATAAAATCGCGTCAATTTTAAAAACTTGTTTACGCCAAAAACCCGACACATACACTCGCCTACATACGAATGAGTCCAAAGAGTGCTAAAAATAAATAACGGACCCTCAGCCTTTCAGCTAGACAAACGAACAGAAATGTTCTAGAATGGAAAACTTCGTTTGGCTTCTATCTAGGGAAATGTACAACCAGGGCTGCAAGCCTAAGAACAAATTGGTTTCGGTTCGGTTTACGCTTTGAATTCGGTTCGTGAGCCAGGATTTACTCATTCATGAACTTGGCTTTTGATCAGCCTTGCTTATTCATCTAATTTCAAATTGTCGCCTTTTTGCCATTTTTGGATCTGTTAGTTTTTGCTCATATCTGGTTTAATTGAAAGTTCAGTTAAACTGGGATTCCGGTCGTGGCCCGGCTCGGTTCAAATGTGGTTGGTAGACTTGGCTACAACTCTCTCCCTCTCTCTCTCTCTGTCTCTCAGCCATTTCGTTGACAATCGTTTTATATATATTATATATATGAACTTACCTCGAGCGCAGGCCATCATCTAGGGCATTCGATATACCCTCCTCGATGGTGGGCAAATCGGATGAGAAGCGATTGATCGGGCGCAGGACGCGCAGCGTGCGACTGGATAATTTCCAGACAAGCCGCTGCTTGTAGGGCGCCTTATTCTGTCCATTGTAGTGGGACAGAATGCCCGAGACAATGCTAAAACCGCAGGTGAAAACGCGATCGGGAATCTGCAAAGCGAACAACTCAATTATTATAAAAATAATATAAAATTGTTGTTATTTGAACGTACCCTCATGTATTGCTGCAGGAAGAGTATGTACTCAAATACATGCTTCAGTTCGGGACTGCCGCGTGTGTACGACTCCTTAATATGGAAATCCAGATGCAGGCAGATGAGCACTAGAGCCAAAGTCGCCGGCGTAATGACCGTCGTCTTGACATCGCACAGCAATATCTCCAAACGATTCTCCAGCTCCTCCAGTTTGATGAGCTGTTGATAGAATTTGAAGAAATCACCGCCAATCTCCTTCGCCAAATTGCGGAAGAGTGCGTAATAGATGCGCAGGTAGCTAACGGATGTGATGGGCGCATGTCCCATCTGTACGCCCAGTTTATTGGCAATAACCCCGGCCATGCGTTCCAGATCGCCAGCGGTACAACCACACTATGTAAGCATAATAGTAGACAATTGTATATACCTGATATTAAGTATTTGTGTGTGCGTGTGCGTGTGTGTGACATACCTGAGATATTGTTACCAAATCGTCGGCAGGTATGGGCTTCAAGTCCAGCTGCTTGATGGCCAAATGGAAGGAGGCAACGCTCATGCAGGCCATATGCTTCGGCTTGACAGCCATGCGATCCAGAAAGCGATCCACCAGGCTCATGGCCGAGAACAGCACATCCGACGGCAGCTCGTACCACATCTTCAGACAACGCAGCACATACGCTGATCCATCACGTCCGCCGGCGGTAACCTCGCGCTGCAAACAATAAGATCATCATATGAGCTCTATATGTACACCATTCATATAGTTTTTCGTCCATTTCCCGTCCGTTGGTTTTATGGTATTCCACAATTGGGAAAACACATATTTATTACTTATGTTCTCAGAGCTTTGAAGTTGAGTTAAGGTCCGATCGGACGAATTAAATTCTTTGACACACTTTAAAAGCAATTGGAAGAAAAATGAAGTCTTAGGCTCATCCCATAAAATCGTTTTTCATAAGTTTCCATTGCAAAAGCTCATCTTAGCGTCAACAGTTAATGAAGTATATCTAGCTCCTAGCTCCAATCAACTAGTCAGTCAGTCAAATACATATGTAAATATATAGAATCTTTGACTTACCCTCGACTCCTTGGGCAGCAACAATACCGTATGATATTTATCCTGCAGTGCATCGTACTCTTTTAGAGTCTCATACAGTTCATCCGAGCTAAGCGCATGTAATTGATCCTCTAGTTTTTTAAGCGCTGTCGGCTCAGCTCCAGCTGCTCCAGCTCCTGCGGTTCCAGCTTCAGTTTCCAGTGTTTGTTGTTCGTACTTTTGATATTCCAAGCCAGCAGCACCCGGTGTCCCATACCGGCCCTCGTCCGCAATCCTCATCCAATCAGTTGGCATCTCTGCATTCTGATCCCCCCCGTCGATGCCATTGCCCATTGATTTGCCCCTTAAAATAGCCGCCGCTGCCTGAGCCGATGTTGATGGTTGCTCATCATCGACCAGGATAGCATTGATGCTAATTGCATCCATGTTGTTAACGTTGTTGTTGTTGTTGTTGTGATGGTGGTGGTTATTGATGCTGGCGACGTTGTTATTTATATTGTTGTTGTTGGGCAAATCAAGTGCTGGCATAGCCGTTGAGGACATCAACATCGATGACCGCTGCTGCATCAACTGCTGCTGCTGCTGCCGCAACGCCTGCTGCTCCGCCTCCAGCTGCTGCTGCAATTGGCAATACAAAAGAGCCTCCTCCTGCTCCCGCTCCTGTTCGTATTGCTGTTGGTATTGCGCGTATTGCTGCTGTTCGAATTGTTGCTGCAGTTGCTGCTGCTGCTGCTGCTGCTGTTGTTGTTGGTGGTATTGCTCTTCTTGGGTTAGAGTATTATCCAAACCACTTTCAACGACGACGGCGTATTCGGCGGCAGCAGAGTAGCGTACAGGGACAGACATTGTGAGGGCTGGCCTAGTACCTGTATATGGCAAGGTTTTTGTTTTTCTTATATGTATAATAAAACGCAAACGATACAAAAATCCCTTTGCGTTTAGGCCAAATAAATGGGTTGTCCCTTAAACAACTTGTTTGATATGATTTTATTTTCAGCAAAAGCCCAAAACGTAATTTCAAGCCAAGTACTTTTTTTCTTTTTTTTTTTTTTTTTTTAGCTAAGATATCAGCGAGTGCACTTGTATAGAACAAAAACTAGTGCGCTCTCAATCTGCAGCTCGAAATTAAGACCGAAAATGCAGCGCTTCAGGGATTATATATATATATGCCTTTATAGGTTTTTGTATAATTATTATTATAATCCACTGCTGGCGCAAATGCAACCGAAAATAAAATGAACTGTTTGCTACTTGTGCTGCACACACCGGTTCGAGTAGCCCAGAGCCGAAAACAATATTAAAGTCTAAAATCGAATACGAGTTGTATATGATTTTAGAGCTTTTAGCTCTGTTAATGGCCGAAAAAACCTTAATGCAATTCTTTCAACAATTTGCAAACAGTTAAACAAACAAAACGCCCTCAACAATGAAATGTGCATATATATTGACAAAATATCTATCAATATAATATTAGCGACAAATGTGCGCAGTGTACTAACGACAATAACGATGACAAATTGTGAATATATCTATATCATATATATATTCTGTGTCTATCAGTCAGTCTTAACGTACGCTGTTCTTCAAATGTCTTCTTCTTCTTTAACCAAATTTGTGAAAATATATTTAAAAATATATATATATAATTTCTAGCGTCAATGTGGTTTATTATGTGTTCGCTCAGTGCTTGTTACGATAATAAACGCGAGACGCTGAAATTTGTTACAGTGTATTTATTTAGTAGCTCGTTGTAGAACTATTAATGTTGCTCATAAATTTTTCCTCGTAGTGAGTGGAAAAATCTCTCTTTTAGCTAAAATATATAAAAACTTACGAGCTGCAAAATTATGCAAGCACATTAAAAAAAATTATTAGGGTAAATAAATAAAAATGTTAACAAAAAATACGTGGTTTTTTTTTTTTTGTAAGTGTAAATGCTAAATGTCAAATGAAGTTCATCAATTTCATGTTATTGTGTTAATATGGCAAGAGCATTGCTCTTTGGTGTTTTTTATTGTATTTTATTTAAAATACTCAACTGTTTACAATGCGTTGAACGAACTTTGATTGAGCGTAAAACTGAGCATAAAACCAAGTGCACAGCAGAGTGTGACAGGTGGGCGTAATAAACGGACTTCTGACATTGGAATACATTTGATTTATATCTGACCTCAAAAAATGTTCACAATTTTTTTCAAATCACAAACATGACACAAGGCTGCCTGAGAAGGGGTGGGGGATGGGGGGTGGGGGTGGTCGATCGCCGTCTCAAGGTGAACCACTTAAATAGCCTGGTTGTGTATATCCAACATTTACAGAAACTTGTTCGAGAATTAAAGACAATATTGACTTCCCTGAGGCATCTACAATGATTGATTTCCGATTTGAAAATTCGTATAAATACAAAAACAAGAACACAAGATAAAATACAAAAAAGCTCAATGCTCGCACTTGAGTAAACAAAGTGGCCGCCATCTTGTTCCAATTCAGCGTTCGCCTTACAGCTAATAAAACAAAGACGGCGGCTACGCTGGGATTGGGAGATAACACAGCAGCAAGAGCAATAATAACAACAGCCAGCACCAGGGCTGGGCCGCAGCTCAGGCGAGCTTTCTCTAATGCTTGTGTGCTGGTAATTGTAATGGAGGAAGCGAAAAAAAAAACCAAAACATTAAATAATCTAAACACTCGAGGAGGGGCTAGCTGATAAATGACATGCAACTAACCAAAGAAAACACACAGTTTCGAAATCTGAAGCTGAGCAGAGCCACTTGAGAGTGTGAGATGCATGTTTATGGCATTGGTGGAAAGAGCTACTGCAATTGACGTATGAAATATTATTTAAAGTAGCAGCGGGATGTGGTGTTGAAGACAATTTTGATATTTCCAGCTATTTATAGTTGAATGGGCGATTTTAATTTGTAAACATGCAGCCCTGAAAAACCTCATAACAAGTGTATACCGTCTGTTTCAAAACAATTGTCATTAACCTGCCTCATGGCTAGCAGCTTAAGACCCCGTTTACAAGGCTGAACATTACAAAGTTTAAAATACCTAAATGAGCTATAATTCAAGTTCGTTTTAATTATAGTTCATTTCAAAATGTGTTTTCTGTATATAAAAGTATATATTATTAAGAATGTGTTGATCAATTCGGCTGAACTTTCGCCAAAAGTCCGACCGACCGCACCTTAATCGTATATCGAATGTGAATCAGCCGAACCCAATCGATGAGGGCATAACCAACATATCTGACGCATATGCAGAATTTAAGTAAAACTTCAACTCATTATAAAAAACAGACGAATCATGCTATTTTTGACTTCCGTTCACAAAACAAAACAATAAACCCACTTGCTGTAGAGCCGAGTATTTCAATTCAAGGTCGTCAAGCCAAGAAACTAGTTTTAGATAGGCTTCAAGCATGACACTGCAGCCCTGCAATGATGCCATGGTGCTATAGAGCTTAAAATCTGACAAGCGACAAACTAACGGCACCAGTCAAAGTTCAACTGTACGCTACGGCGAGCATAAAGCTGCCCACAAGGCGAAACAGTGCGAATGATGAGAGTGCGAATGAGCGAGTAGATGAGATAACTAAAGCTTGGAGAGTTGTGCGCATGCGTCTGTGTTGGTGTTGCTTGATCTGTTAATCTGGATTGTGATGTAAATCCAAACAAAGATGGCGAGTGAGAGAGAGGCACACGTTCTATTGATCTTCTCAAGGCTCATCATATTTTTCTAAATTATTCTGACACACATACATATTTATCGTGATGATTCTGCCTTTTGGTTTCTTGCGTGTATTTTGTTGTTGATCTTTTGGGCAACGAAAAACAAAAAGTATTACGCGCGCCGCTGACGCAAAGCACGTACACACACGCTCACACACACACACACACGCACACTGATACGCTTGTATGTGTGGTAGCTGTATGTGTGTAGTTGTTTTTATTTATACACGAGCTTTACCTAGGCTGCTTCTTGTTGTTATTGTTATTGACTGCTTAACTTAGCCAATGTTTTTTCGAGCGCTTGTTACAAAAAATTTCACTTTTTGCCTATTTTCGTAACTGCAAAACGCACGTTAAACGAAGACGACTGCGATGGGCGGCAGCGATTGTGGGGGCGTGGTCATGCCCGCTCAGGTGTGAAATATGAAAATATGTTTGTATGTACATGCATATGCATGCGCATAAATACGCTCATGCAACGAGTTTCAACTAAAATAAGTGAAGAGCGCAAGAGAAAGAGAGAGCGAGAGACGCTACTGAACTGATCTTTAGTACATACAAAACACATACAAGTGTTAGAAAACGAAAGTGGTGTCTGTATGTGTGTGTGTTTGTCTATTCTCCATTGATTTAGCTAAAGTGCACGAAATCAAAACAAAAGCAAGTTAAAAGCTTGCAAAATATTTTCCATCATTTTTATTTGTGTCGCTGTTTAATTAACAGATGCAGACGCACACGCAAGTGCGACAGGGACGTGTATAGTTTCGCACAAACACCTGCACGAGCGAGATAGCATTTGTTACTCAGCAATTTTTGTGTTGTTTTTGCCTTTCAACGGTTTATTCATTTATCAGCGCTTAATTGATGTTGGGCTGCGTATTTAAAGCTGCTGAAGGTCAACAAATGACAGCCACTTGGAGCTACTGTTCACAAGAAAAAAAAAATAATAATATGAAGACAGCTTTCGAGTGCGAGCAAACAGTTAACTGCGCCAACAACAACAGCCGTTGCATCAGCTCAAGCCATAGCAGCAGCTCGGGAAGTTTCTGCGCTGCTTGCGTCATGCTGCACGCAGCGACTTCGGAGTCAAACGTGACGCCAAACAGGTACACAACAGCTGGAGCTGCCCATGACATGTGAATATGCCGCCACCACATACCCCTCCATGCTTTGCATAAGCGCAACCAACCCTCATAAGCTTAAAATAACCAACACGTTGGCAACAACTTTGGCTTTGATGAAATTAACAAACGAAATTGTGCAACGAGCTGTTAAGGGCCCGCCGACCCGGGTTCAAGCAACCCCCTACCCCATGACTGCTGCCAACGGCCCAGGAAGGAAGCCAAACAGACGTCGCGACGTCCAAAATTTGTTTTCAACCCCACTAGCGCAGCAGCACGTACACATACACATACACTTACACACACACACACAGGCATATGTAAATATCAATGGCGTAACAAAGTGCGAAACGCAGCCAAAGCGGAAACATCAAATGTTGCCCGTTGACAGAACGCAAGCGCAGCAGCTGTCTTATGGCATGAGCTAGGAGATAAATTATTGCATTTCGAATGAAACAAAAGAGGGAACTATTCATTTTGTGTAGGTATGCCTATGTTTATGTAGCCATAGCGTACGTATATAAACAAAGGCGAAAAACTAAACAAATAATACAAAATTAAAATCTAAACAATTCAACAAACGAAAAAACGATTCAACTATTTGTTATCAAGTCGCGGGCATTGTGCTCAATTTTCTGTTAATTATTGAATGCGCTGCGTCTCGCTCTTTCACTTCCTTCCTTTGAATATTGTTTCTGATTCCAAATCACGCGACTAGCTCCGTTCCGACCCGTTCGCAAGTTCATTCGCCGAACTTTGTCTCTCACTAGTTCGGCTCTCTGACGGAATTGCCGTTCACTATCTACGTAAGTATTTTATGTGCGGTCTATTGCCTGTCTCGACAATCTATCAACGGACTCGCTTAAATAGCACAGACGCGAATATATTTGCATTTCTATTATCGCCTGACTTATGCACCAAATGCTGGCACACAAAACGAAATGAAGATAGTACAAAAAATACCTTAAGTTTTCATTATCGAGAATGGGAATGAGAAAAATGCATCGAGGCATTCTTGTGCACAGAAATTGCCATGACAGACGGGATTTCAACGTTGAAGGTAATTGGTATAAAGGCATTTTGAGAACTTAGATAAGCCCTTACACTTAACGAAACCGTGTGCACTTTGTACCAGACTTAAATGAAAACAAAGTGAACTACAAGAGCTGATAAGCGGGCTTTGAATGTACTTTTATCAGGGTTTTCAATATTTATGCATGTTTCTTTCCAATCTAAATGGGTAATTATTACATTAGATAAAGGTAAACGCTCGCCGGAAGTGATAATGAGTTAAATGTTATTATGGCCAAAGTTGACTTTGGGCAGTGATATACAGTGAAAGCTCTGCTAACGAACAGCCTGCAGTAAATCAACAGGAATTCAATTTAAAAATTGGTGTCCACTTTCAATAGTTTCCACTGTACTCATATCAGACAGAGTCTTGTAGCATTCCATGACGTAAACTGAGATAAAACAATTCGATCTTATCGCTCGACAAGAGTATTGACTCATCATCATTCACAGTATCAATTCCAGTTCCAGTTGCAAGTCCATAGCCGCAGGCACAAAAACGTTGAATGATAACAATGGAATGAATAGCTAGCAGCTGCCAGTGTTGGAAACCAGCAGCTGCATTGGAATGCTTTGGCACCCTCTCAATTGAATTAGAGAGGCGCACCTTCCAAACAAAAAACAATATAAAGTAGCAGCTATTCAAAAAGGGGTGGACCCTCGATAGTCGTTTTGGCTTGGCACGAGCTGACGTCTATTGCTGACAGGGGCAACTCGGATTACCGCTATATGCATATCAGGGGGTTGAAAAAGTCTATTTCAACTGCGGCTCTGGGCATGACAATAGATTAACTTTCGCTGTGCGCATTTTAAAATGCTTATTGAGCTCATTTACGCTGAGTTGGTGAATAGATAGAAGCAAAACGTTCCGCAATTTTGGACTATGCGTCACTTTTTTTTGTGACCACTGTACCCAAATCACAAACAGCTGTCCAGTGTTGTTCATTTTTTTTTTTTTTGTGCCTTTAAAGTACTTTTTTTTTAAGGTAGACTCAAGTTTCACTTGAGACTGTCGCGACAGCTGTTGAAAATTTGCCAGGCAAGTAACGGGATATTTAAAAGAAATATTTTTTTTGACTAGTAAACGAAGATACAGGTAGATACGATACATAACTGTGCATCACTACAAGTGAAATTTCTGTTGATAGAGAGACGGATTTACGTGCAATTTAAGGGGCGGCTGACCGCAGTCAAGATCAAGATGGCTGCTCTGTCTCTCAATCGCTCACTCTTTCTAACAGTTACACACACACACACACACACACATACACACTGAGGAAGCTACAAATCAAATTGTGTACAAGACGCAACAATAAAAACATACACGAAATGCGCGCCAACGCCTCAAAGTCAACAAAAAGACGCCAAAGAAGTTGACCAAAGCAAAAGTTGAAGATTTCAAATGTAAAAATAATGTAAAAAGGGGCGTACGTAAATGAGGAAATAAACAAAAACAACGGTACGCAAAGCAAAGCATCACCCACACAAACACAAACACACACACAAACGGTACATATATATATATATATATATGTATACACACAAACGAATGCAAATTAGTATGTGTAGGAGCCCTTATGGAGGTTATTTGTCCATGGCTAAATAAAGAGAAACAAAATTTAAAATATAGCAACAATTTTTGATTGCTGCGACAACACCAACAAATTGAAATCAACAAATATGACCCAGAAAGCAAAAAACGCTGAAGGTGAAATCAAGCAGAGAGAGAGCCAGAGCAAGACAGCAACCAATAAAAACTAAAAAAAAAATAGTGAGACTTACGATGGGTTTAAATATTTTAAAGACATTAAACAAAGTCTTAAAACAAGTTAAAAACTGGCAGACTTTGGGGCATGTAAATATGCGCAAGTATAAATAAATTTTTTCAATTGGCTGACGCAATTTTGAGCTTGCACTCACACACAGAAAACATTCGTTCGTATTGGTGTAAGAATACAAAGCAAAAACCAAATGGGAACACGAACATAACACACACAGAGAAAACTCTTTGTTTGCGCACTGTAAGTGTATATGTTAACAGAGAGAGCGAGAAACGAACGATACGATTTGGAACTGAAACACTGCCATAATTGTTGGAGCTCTCGCTCAGTTCCTCGATAACAATATAAGACAATAAAAATAACCACTGCAATCAAACTGCAAACAGTATAAGGTTAATTCAATATGCAGAGAATTCATGTGTGCTAATTCAGAAAATTGTATATAGCACAACTGTTGTGCGTAATTGTTTGGATAACTGTACTACTACTGAGATACAAGCATAGTTTCTCTTACGTCTCTCTCAGCAACACCTATGAATAGCTGCTCCACTGCCCCCTCCCCACACACACATGCACGCACAATGAAAAGCATATAGGTACGCGAACATACATACACATACATATACATTTATGCTCGAACAGCTGGGAAACAGATTGAGAATTGAAACAAACACGTAAATTGTTTCTACAATTTTTTTTTCTTCATAGTTGCTTTTCTTTCATACAAATGTACTTATGTATGCGTGCAAATGTACATACACTCTATTAAAAACAATTGACTAGGGAACATAAACTAGGCCTTTTTTCTGATTTAACGCAATGAAATTTTTGATCTTTTATATAAGTAATGCTTACATTTTTACAGCCATTTTGTTGTTTTTATGTTGCGCAGGAATGTTTCGAGATGAATTAGTTACTTGAGAATCTTGGCGAAAATTGTTTTATTGCACTTGAAAAAATAAGTGTACTGTTGGAGTTGTCGTTTAGTTCTTTATTGCTATTCTAAGTGTTTCTTTTAACTAATTTGTACTGCAAAAATGTATCACAGTTAAATTGTTGTTGTTGTTGTTTTTGTCAGAGTCTCTCGTTTAAGCCAACATTTTTCATGTTCTTTGCAAACAGTTTGTGGATCGATTTTTCCCACGCACTAGTTTAAAAGTGGTAGGTTTTTCCCATCAGCTGCACATCTTTGCTGTTATTGTGGACTTTGCTACTGTACTATTTTATGTTAAATATACATTTGATCTTGCATGTAGTAAATTCAAATTCAAATTATACACAATTTTTTATGCAAAATCACACACACACACACATTCAAGTACAAACACACGCGCTCTATTACAGTCCAAACGGTACTTTGCTTTGTTGCTTCCAAATGTAAACTGACGTTTCAAAAAGAGGAGAAAAACAGACTTTGGCAACAGAACGGGCATGTTGCCTCACTCGTTCAAATGTTGCCTCACTTGTGTTGCTACGAATGCTACGTGTTGAAAGAGCGAGAAAATGTTGCTTGCTCATGCTGAGACACTTGTGTACAAGAGCGCGTATGTTGACATACAATTTGGTATTTAAATACCGCAAATATGCCCAAATACGTACTTCTTATATACATATTGCCACTTGTTAGGTGGTTTGAAATTTTTTTTCATACTGGCAATCCTGCATTAGAAACTCCGTTGGGTGGCAGCCTTTAGAAAGCGCGGTTCTTTTAAATTAATTACACAGTCACAAATGTAGATTAAAACAAATAAATAAATATAAACCCATAGAAGTAGTGATTAAGCATACCTAATTTCACAAACTATTGTAAATGACTATAAATATAATTCACATAAGAGTACATAATACTTATCTATCATCTACCAATCTTTCAACTTCTCAATTTTCCCTGATAGCACGTTGAACATATTTACGCCGTACCTTTATGCTTATAATTTTCACTTTATAATTTCCCTGCTATTGAGAAAAGTGAAAATCTTTTTTATTTAAGCTGTTGCTAAGCGATTTATTGAATGAACTAGCGGGGTTGAGGAGAAGGGAATTTGCTATTCCACATACGCACACATACATGCACGTTCACACATTCGCTTGTGTGTGCGTGCTTCCAGAAAATTGCAGCAACCTGCTACATATATACATAAAAACTGTATTTACACCGCAATCGAGTGCACAAATGCAGTCGGCAAAGAATTTTAAATTAATATTTCAATAGCAATCCACTTAAATGACGTATTCCAAAGTAAAATAAGCAATAACCTCCGTTTTAGATTTCGTCACAGACACACACATACGCACACACACATTCTTATTGGAAGAAACGCGTGGCGCAGGTCACTTGCAAAACGCAGTTAACGCCAACAAAGTCGCTTTTCGCATTGAAACACAGTTAACCATTATGTTAGATGAATATTTATACACTTTTTAAATAACTTACCCGGATGCCTCTGTGTTTTAATCAGTATTTGTCTTCTTTTTTGTGAACTGCGACACGACCAAATATATGTAAATATCTAAATGAAATGAGCCAGCGTAGGGCTGGCAAGCAGCAATTCAGTTCATTAGAACCGGTTCCGAACTGGAGCGAGCGAGTGAACCAACAATTGTTGCGCTCAAAATGAGAGCGAATTTAAATTTGTTGTCAAAATGTTTATTTTTGTTAAATTTTAAACACAAATGAGCTGTTTTAATTTATATTAAAACGAAAGAAACAATTTCACAATACATTTATTATGATATAAAGATAACAGTTACATGAATGTTAATGTTAATGGCCACTGTTACTCGTATGTATGGTATTTTCCATGCTATAAATAGATAAAGGCGTGATAGCCTGATCAATCTTTTGTGATTCTCATATTGATTGCCGAAGTGTGTAGCGGCATTATTTGCAACAAAAAAAAAAGAAGAAAAATGAGCTTTAAGGAACAACCAAAAGGTTTCGCCACGAAGGCCATACACGTTGGCCAGGATCCGGAGCAGTGGCAGAGCGCCTGTGTTATACCGCCCATCGTCACGAGCACGAATTTTAAACATGATGCGCCAGGCGAGCATCGTGGATATGCCTACTCGCGAGGTGGCAACCCCACGCGCAATGTCCTGCAGCAGTGCATGGCCGCGCTCGATAATGCCAAGCACGGCCTGACCTTCTCCTCAGGCCTGGGCGCAACAACCGCTGTCCTGGCAATGCTCAGTCGCGGCGATCATATCGTAATGGGCGATGACGTTTACGGCGGAACGAACCGACTGATTCGCCAGGTGGCAACACGTTTTGGTCTAACGGCCACTTTTGTGGATGCCACCAATTTGGATAGTTTTAGAGCAGCCTTCAAGCCGGAGACAAAACTGGTTTGGCTGGAGTCCCCAACGAATCCCTTGATTAAAGTGGCTGACATCAAGGTTTTGGTCAAGATTTGCCGTGAAGTGAGCAGCAAGGTTGTTATTGCTGTGGATAATACCTTCCTAACCTCTTACTTCCAAAGACCCCTCGAGCTGGGCGCCGATTTGGTCTGCTATTCCCTGACCAAATACATGAATGGCCACACGGACGTTGTCATGGGCGGCATCACAATGAATTGCGATAAGCTACATGCCAGCCTGAAGTTTTTGCAAAATTCGATGGGCATTGTGCCCTCGCCCTTCGACTGTTATCAGGTGAATCGCAGTTTGAAGACCTTATCGCTGCGCATGGAACAGCACCAGGCGAATGCACTGCAAGTGGCCAAATTTCTGGAGTCACATGATTTTGTCGAGCAGGTTTTGCATCCGGGCCTGCCCTCTCATCCCCAACACCAGATAGCGCTTGCTCAAACCTATGGCTACAGTGGTGTCTTTTCCTTCTACATCAAGGGTAGTCTCGCACATTCCACGGCATTCCTCAAGGCACTCAAGGTGTTCACCCTGGCCGAGAGCCTTGGTGGTTACGAGAGTCTCGCCGAACTGCCTTCGGTTATGACGCATGCCTCGGTGCCCGCTGAGGATCGCCAGACTTTGGGCATTACGGATGCCCTGATACGCCTGTCGGTGGGCTTGGAGGACGCTGAGGATTTGATAGATGACATCAAAAATGCCTTGGACGTAGCAGCTAAAGCTTAACTACTTTGAATAGTATTAACAAACAGTTCCCTGTTGCCTTTTTAAATGAATAAAATATTTGTATATTCTTTTATTTGTTGCACTAATTTCATTTGGATCGATTTTTGTTATGGAAACTATACGATAAAGATCTTGTTTATGAGCAGCGAAATTTAGTTATAAACTATTTTCTTCTTACATAACGAACGTAAATAATATTTTAATTACCGAATTTAGTCTAGATATTTTAGGATATATAATGTGATCCTGTTAAAACTGACCTTTTGACAGATAGCTTCTATTATCTAGTATTTCGACAGAGGTAAACTTCATCAAATGGAAGAACCCAGCATATATGTATATATATATGGATTCGGCTTTCGATATAGGTTCAGTATGTATATATAATATAATTCGCAACTGATCAGGTTTCTATATAAACTAAAATTGAAGCCGTGTTTTTTTTGGAGACTTTGTATGTAGCTAACGTACATACAAATTTATATGTAAATTTTGTGTATAGATGCATATATATATATATATATAGGTAATATATGATAGACAAGACTAGCTTGGTGCTTAATATCTAAGAATCTATATGCTATTCAGTTTATTGTGCGCTATAATGTGGTCCCGGCGTGGGCACGCTCTTGAGTGGCGAATCAAAGTCAATTGGAGGCTGGTCGAGAATGGGCGTCTCTGGCGCAACGGCTGTGCCGATGCGCTCCTGCAGCGTCTCGTAGAGCTTGTGGATGTGCTCGTTGTGTGCCGTGGTCGGCTGCATGGCCTTCATCAGTGTCGCCAGGCGGCCAGCGGGCAGCTTGTTGTAGACATACCACAGCAGCTTGAGCATGTGGCGCGAGGTGACATTCTCGCGCGTCAAGCCCGCAAATATGAACTCATCGAAGAGTGTGGTGCAGAAGTCCTCTGTGGCGAACTCCTCGCTCATGGGTATGAGCAGGGCAATGAGCGAGTGCAGGAAGGGATCCTCATAGGCGCGATCATCCTTGCAGGCGGACAATATGGCCAAGACGCGCAGCACACCGACGCGATCCTTGACGCGAGCCGTGTGTAGCGTATAGTACATGGCCAGAATACTGGCCACCGAGCTCTCTTGTATATAGGCCTCCACGGCATCGGGCGCCGGGCCCGAATGCTCAATGGTCGTCAATGCGGATTCACGTTCATCGGGTGGCAGTTTGGCGTGCAGGCTACGGCACTGATCGTCCACCATGAGCGACATCAGAGCCGGCAGAAACTTGGTCACCACCTGGTTGTCCAGTTTGGGCTCCTTGAAGTCCTGCGAATCGATCATGACCCAGGCGCTTAGGCCCAGCGCCAGCATGCGCAACAATAGAATCAAAATTTGATTATCCCGCGGCATGCCCTCGTTATTGATCAGATGCTGCAGTATCTTGATGGCCGAGGTGGCCAGAAAATTAATGGCATATGGATCGCACAGTGTCATGGACAGATCGCCCAGCACCTGCTCCTGGCCGCGCTTGATGTTATCCAGAAAACCCTGCAGTTCACGCGAGCGCTTAATATCCACATTCTTCTCGCGTATACAAGCGTCTAGGCACCAGGTAAACTTGTGGCACGGATCAATCGATATAATCTCCTGCACCTCCAGATCGTGCAGTGCCATCAGCAGCTCCGCGCGCAGCGTACAATAGTGCACGTTGCGTGTGCGTAGAAAGAGAGTACGCAGAAACTGCAGCACCATGTCGTACAGCTTGACGCTGTTGCCAATCATGTTGGCCAGCTTCTGGACAACCTCGCCCTGCCGGCGCACCTTGGGCGTCGGCTGGAAAAACAAATTATTCAGATTGGTATGATCAAACAGGATGTGCTCCTTTTCGCGTATATATTGCGAGAGGAGCGGTGACACCTCATCACCAAACAGCGATTGATTATCGCGCCAAATCTGGCGCTTCACCTCGGTGTCCGTGTCCGCATAGAGTTCCCGGTCGCGCATCAAAATGCGCAAATACTTGTCATCGATGTGCTGGGTATTCCGGAGTATGGCCATCACGACGGGCCGCAAATATTTGACGCGCACCACGGGAAAACTCTTGACCAGCAGCTCCTTCAGTTTCTTTTCGCGCTCGCGCGGATCCTTCTGTCCCAGTTCGTTAATATGCGCAATCAACTTGTCGCGTAGCTCCTCCATCAGCGATGTGTGAAAGTCCAGACGACGCACTCCATGCAAATCCAGCAGCGGCAGCATCGGACGCAGAGACGGCAACAGGACGCCATTCTCCAGCTGGAAGCTCTCGATGGCTTTCAGTGGATCCGTGCATGAGGTGAGCGCCTCGCGCAGAAATGCCTGACCCGGAATGTTAACATCTTCCAAGCCGGTGCCAGTGTTTTTAGCAGGCGTGCTCATTTTATCCAAAAAAAAAATATGTTTAGCCTCTTTTCGTCAATGGCAACAGCTTGAAGAATAATTTAGACCAGGGCTGCACTAGACAACAAAAAGCGATGGACATTGTTCAAGGTGCGCAATTGAGATGTGTACGAATGGCACGAATTTTGGAGTATGCGTATTTTTTTTTATTTCATTTCCGTTTTATTCTTCTAAGATAAAATATGCTATTTAAATTAAAATTAAAAATTAAATTAAAATTAACTAAAGCTAATAATTATTTTATAACATTTTTTGATTTCGTTCAAAATTGTGAACTCTTTTTATAATTGTATCATTATTATTTTTACTATATTGTTTGTACATAAATGTAATGTTTTTAAAATATTTTGCATATTCCTTAAGTTATGTATGTATTTAAGAAACATATTTTTGGGGTTTTTCGTGCGTGCTTGTATAACGATATAAAACACGATACGCACCCAACACTAAATCGCATACACACCAAAACCTGTATTCAAATGTTGTTAAATGTTTTCTTATGTTGCATAAGTTTTGTATATATTTTAAAAATTGTTTACGTGCAGAAATATAAATAAAGTTATTTCAATGATATGAATATTGGGATCATTTTTGATGTGTGCGAACTTCTTAGCTATTGTGATCCGTTACTTGTAACAAGTAACAGTTACACATATAAAAAGCACACATCTCTAGAAAGAGCACAAGCATAGAAAAGCAAATTGGGTGGAAAACTGGCTATGGATGTACGGAAAATTATTAAGTGCATTTTTGGTGCCGATTATTAAAAGCGCTGCAACTAAAATAAATTACAAATAGTGCAAATAAACAGAAACAAAATCGCAAACAAAAACAACAGCTCGCTAATTGTGCGAGAGTGTGTGTGTCTGTGTCTGTTGCTGCTGCTGCCGGACCTTTAGCTAAAGAAGTAGCAAGAGCAGAGGAGCGGAGAGCAAGAGATAAGAAGAAGAAGCAGCACTCCTAGTCGCAAAGAAAAGCCTTGCTGTTGCCATAATTACGGCAGCTTTGTGGGAGTTCAAGTTTAACAGCGCGCGCCTCTGTGTGTGCGTGTGTACGTGTGTGTGTGTGCAAGCATTTTCAATGTGTGCGTAACACCCCCAAAGGCGCTCTCTTTGGCACAAACTGTTGTAAAGTTACAACAACAACAACAATAACAATAACTGCTGGAAGCAGTAACAAGGGGAGAGAGAGACTGGACGTTCGCTGACTTGCCGTTTGTTTTGTGCGCACATTCGCGTGCTTCTCTTTGTTTCGGCTGGTCGCTGCGTGTTTTCTTTTTTTTGTTTTTTTTTTTGTTATTTTGTGTGCAACGCTTGCGGCGACAGCTTCGCTTTGTGGCCATCAGCTGGATACGGATTTTGTGACGGCGGCGACACCAACAACGCCGAAGTGGATGCACATGCACGCGGTGGCCTGGGCATTGCCCAGGACTTTGGCATGGCCGGACCGGCCGCTGGTCCGCCGGCACATATGTACGGCGCCATAGCGCAACAGGACAGTAAGTGGAGCCCATTATCTAACCCTAATTATGATCTGCTTTAACGATGCCTCTCTATGTTCCCGCTTCTCATAGTAATTGTCCGGGACATGGTTCAAATGCCGCCACCGCCACCCTCGAATGCGCCCACCTCAGCGGATGCCTGCCTGAGCATTGTCCATTCGCTGATGTGCCATCGGCAGGGCGGGGAGAGCGAGGGCTTTGCCAAGCGCGCCATCGAGTCGCTCGTTAAGAAGCTAAAGGAGAAGCGCGACGAATTGGATTCGCTGATAACGGCAATTACCACTAACGGCGCCCATCCAAGCAAATGCGTCACCATACAGCGCACGCTCGACGGCCGACTGCAGGTGAGCGTCAGCGTCAGCGACAGCGGCGGCGTCAGCTTCAGTTTCAGCTACGCCTCTTATCGCCCCGCATTGTGTGGGGTCTATATGTTACAATACCCTGTACCCAGTGTAAAGGTGTAAATAGAGTATATTGGAACTTGTACCAATCGTACAAACATTATAGGATGGAGGAAAAACGGGCTAATTTATTTAATTCTATAAATTACGATTTCATACTCAGGTCAGGTTTTATTTCATATAATATGAAATCGTCAATAATGATAAACGTAGATTTTTAGAGCGTATCGACAACAAATTTCGTATGCAGTTTCTCACATATCACAAAAAAATCAAATTTATTTCAATTTTTGAAGTACTTTCGTCTTTTCCACACCATTTTTTGATAATATTCAATCTTCAAGCCATATTGAGTTGGGTATATACGAGTTTTTAGGTAACTGCACTGGCTACAGGGTATCTCGTAGTCTTGCACTCTAGAGTAGTGCACTTAATTTGTTTTGTTTGTTTACGCTGTGGCATTTCCGGCTGCGATATGCGACGCGTACGTGTGTTTACTATTCGATTTTAATTTCATTTTTCGTTTCACGTTTTCTTGCTCTTTGGCGGACTGCAGGTTGCCGGTCGCAAGGGCTTCCCTCATGTGATCTATGCGCGCATCTGGCGCTGGCCAGATCTGCACAAGAACGAGCTAAAGCATGTCAAATACTGCGCCTTTGCTTTCGATCTCAAGTGCGACTCGGTGTGCGTGAATCCCTACCACTACGAGCGCGTCGTCTCGCCGGGCATCGATCTGTCCGGGCTGAGCCTGCAGTCGGGCCCCAGTCGCCTGGTCAAAGATGAATACTCAGCTGGCTCTCTGGTTGGCAGCATGGACATTGATGGCAACGACATTGGCACCATACAACATCATCCCACGCAGATGGTCGGCCCGGGTGGCTATGGCTATCCGCCACAGGGGCCCGGGCCCGGTGAGTACGGTATGCCCAGACATTATGGTAGTCTATTGCAGTTGACATTGTTCAGTTCACGATTTATATATATATTTTTGATTTCTATCAATAGTCGACTCGATACGGACTTGTCCGTCTGTCTGTGTCTCTAAGTCGTGACCCTTCCCCTAAGGGAAGCCCGCCCGTCTTTCTGTTGAAGGCAGCACGGTTGGATTGGACTTGTATATTACATATCTGTCACAGCAAGGATCGCTCGAAAGTGAAGATCTTGCATGAACAAGAACTCAAGTCCGTCATTTAATAGTTTCCCGGACTTCCAGATTACTTGACTCAACAATTACGAACTTTACAATTCTCCTCGTATTACAAGGGTCTTTAATCTTCGGCGCGCCGAGTGAAGTTTACGATTCTGTTTTGCCAATATATTAGTTTTGCCAGAAATCTGCTTACTTTTTAGATATGTGTATATATATGATTTGATGTTGCTTGATTTTACTTTAATTTTGATTTTGCCTGATTTGCTTTGTTTTCTTTTATCGTTTGTTGATTTTGTAGTTCCCGATGCTAATCAAATGAGTGCAATGTTTGCTGCCGGGCGCGCAATACCAAAAATTGAGCCAACGGACAGTGCCGGGCCAGTGCGTAGTTCGTGGATGTTGCGGCATCCGCCGACGCCGTTGGGCCAGGCTGCCCAGCAGCAACAGCAGCAGCAGCAGCAGGCGGCGTCACAGCAGCAGCAGCCACAAACCCAATCCCAGCCAGCGCCGCACACTCTTTGTAAGCGTTTTTCTTTAGTTCCTTAATTTTGGATAGCTATGCGGGACTAGCTCTTTGTATCTCGAGCTTTTATTTACATTTTGTTAAAATACTCATTACAGCCGTACCTCATGGCATGCCGGGCATGGGCGCCATGAATCCCGGCCCCGGTCCAGTTATGGCGCCGCCACCCCCGCCCACACAAGCACAGAGCGCACAAGGCAATGGCGTGCATCATGCCCAGGCCAGCTCACCCACAGATCCTGCCACGCTGGCCATGCAGCAACAGCAGCAGCAGCAACCACCGCCGGGTGGCGGGGGACCCAATGGCCAGAGCGTTGCTAGCAATTCGAGTGGAGCTGCTGGCAGCGCTGGTCAGTACTATGGAGCGGGGCCAACAGGCGCTCAAATGCAGAACGTGGGCAACGATGTGGGCAAGTTTAGCGGCAACGCCAGCAGCGGCTCGGGACCAGCCACTGTGCATGCCCAGCAACAGAATGGCTATGTGCCGCAGTCAAGCGGTCAGGGTACAGGCGCTAGCAGCTATGGCTCAACTCAGACGCCGTCCGCACAGCAACAGGCAACAGCCGGTAGCCAGCCCAATGCTGGTGGCGCTGTACAAGCCAGTGGTGGTGGTGGTGGTGCCGCAGGCACTTGGACCGGACCCAATACACTTACCTACACACAGTCCATGCAGCCGCCAGATCCGCGCTCATTGTCCGGTAGCTACTGTAAGTTGGCGTGATGACACCCTTCTAACTTCTGTAATTGCTGAGCATATATGCATTTTCAGGGAACTCGCCGCTGCCCGGCGATCTGGCCTCGCCGCAGCAGGCGCCTCCACAGCAGCAGCAACAGCAACAACAGCGCCTGCTCTCTCGCCAACCGGCGCCGGAATATTGGTGCTCCATAGCATATTTTGAACTGGACACACAGGTGGGCGAGACATTTAAAGTGCCCTCGGCTAAACCGAACGTCATCATAGACGGCTATGTGGATCCGTCGGGAGGAAATCGTTTCTGTCTGGGCGCGCTCAGCAATGTGCATCGCACCGAGCAATCGGAGCGTGCCAGGTGAGCAGAGCTACTCTAGCTACTCTTGCTGTATATGCTTATGCCGATATTAACAACTTTTCGCCATTTTTAGACTGCATATAGGCAAGGGTGTGCAATTGGATCTGCGCGGCGAGGGTGATGTCTGGCTGCGCTGCCTTAGCGATAATTCGGTGTTCGTACAAAGCTATTATCTGGATCGCGAGGCGGGACGTACGCCGGGCGATGCAGTGCACAAAATATACCCAGCCGCTTGCATAAAAGTAAATGCTAAACAAATGCAAATTCAAGATTTATAACTAACCGAATCATGTTTTGTGTAGGTGTTCGACTTGCGTCAGTGCCATCAGCAGATGCATTCGCTGGCCACCAATGCACAGGCCGCTGCTGCAGCGCAAGCGGCTGCTGTCGCGGGTGTCTCCAACCAACAAATGGGCGGCGGCGGCAGAAGTAAGCCGACTGAGTTGTAAAAGTAGATAATTGCAAACTTATTTATATATATATATCTATTTGTATTGTAGGCATCACCGCTGCCGCTGGCATTGGTGTGGATGATCTGCGTCGCCTGTGCATATTGCGGCTTAGCTTTGTGAAGGGCTGGGGACCTGATTATCCGCGTCAATCCATTAAAGAGACGCCCTGCTGGATAGAAGTGCATTTGCATCGTGCACTGCAGCTGCTCGACGAGGTGCTGCATGCTATGCCCATCGATGGAGCCGCTGCCTAAAAAAATCGCGCTTCCCAAACTGACCATACATACATACAACCACACACCCACATACACACACGCACACACGCAAAAGCATATTTATTATTCATAGCAAGAAGCACACCCCGTCTAAATGTTAGTTTTAAGGATACAATTTGAGCAGCTATCGTTAAGTTAAGCAAATGTGCAAACAAGGAAAAAAAGGATATGAAATATTTAGTTTTGATTTGCAATTACAATTATGTTTGCCTTTAATTATTTAATAATAATTTTTATAAAAAATTGAAACACCACGCTGTAAAACGTTAAGTCAACTAGTTTTATGTATCATACAGACAGCCAGATATATATATCCATATAAATTTGATAACTCGAGTTGGGCTGCATTTTATGCAATGCCCTTCCTGCCACACACACACACACACACAGCATTACTTACGCAACGACTACAGCCAGAGCAAAGATAGAATGCAATATCTTAAAGGCAAAGTAGTTGTAATATAAATGTAATAAACAGAACATTAACTAAGTGTATATCATTTTGAAGCATCATCATATTTCTCAATTCTTAGCTGCACCTGCTCATCCAGCCAGGACAGCCAGTCGTCTGTTATAAGCCGCTCTAGGGTCACCTCGTGGAATACCTCCACGCGTCGCACCTCGGCAAACTGAAAGCTCTCGAAGAGGCGCAACGACATGGCATTGTCCATGTCGATCTTGGCTTCGAATTTGTTCAGGGGCAGATGCTGCTGGGCGTACTTGAACATAAGTAGCATAGCCTCGCGACCAAATCCTTTGCCGCGCGCCTCGGGTGCTGCGATCATAATTTCCGCCTCTGCCACATAATGCTGCGACTCCTCATCGTGGCGCACAAACAGATTTGTGTCACCCACCATAGCGGTTATCTCATCGTTGGTCTTTTCATAGATCTCAGCGCAAAGGACAATGAATGTGAGCTTATCATTGTCCTGGCGCCAACTTTGTTGCATTGCATATTCCTCGTCTAAGGTGAGCTCATCCGAGGCGGTCAGGCTGCGCAGCGTGGGACTGCTCATCCATTGATGATACTTGGGTACATGTCGGGCCTCGTAGGGCACCAGAATGACACGCTGTCCAAGCAGTTTTGTGTGCTCATTTACGCGCATGGGCTCGAAAATAACACCAACAATAATTAAAATGCAGTAGAGTTCCCCAATAGAGATGGACGCCGTGGCAGCCAACTATCGATAGGCAGTGACTGATTTCAGATTTGAGCAGTTTTTAGTTGATTTTCTTCTATGATTGCGCCATAAATTAAGTGATCAAATATATTATAACCGATTTATAAGAGCTAACCCTGATAGACGTCTACATCTTTGTAAAAATGTATGATTTTTTATAAAACAGCTGAGCGTATATTGAATGCGCATATCGATATTCACAGAAGTCGCGGCGTTGCCAGATAACATAAACAGCTGATTCCCGCGAACGACGCGAATTGTTAAGGGAAATAAGTAAATAGCTCGTTTGATTTGGAAAATGATTTAAAAAATGTCGACGCGCTGTCGTACCTGTGGCAAGATTATTTATTGTCTAAACTCAAAGAATTTATTTCAACAGCCCGACAACATCATGCTACACCAAATTGCAGCGTTAACTGGAATATTTGTCAGTATGCAATTCAACAATATCAAGCGCAAATATTTATAAAGCATCTTATATTATTTATAGCTACCAGAGCATATGGAATTTCCAGAACATATTTGCGGACCCTGCGAAGTAGCGCTGCGAGAAGCCATCGTATTTCGCGAACGCATTATAAAAACACAACAGCTGCTTCTAAATAGCAACAACATTGCGGATGCATTCCAAAAAATTGACAAGGATGAAGTGGACAAGCTGGACACGCTGCAGATAGATGGCGAAGAGATGCAGCTCTTTAACACATATGAGGACATAACAGAGTGCGAGAGTGAGGAATACGAAAGCTCGGAAGATGCAGGGGAGGCAAATGAAGTTTTGTCAGTGAATGGTCAAGCCGATGAGTCTGTGCAGACCATGAAAACCGATGAGCCAACGATAGAACCGCCTGCAAATGCGCCTGCTTCAATGCCAAATACGCCACGCCGACCGGGCAGACCACCCTCCAAACTCTATGCCACGGTCAACTTTGCGACCAACGCTAGGAACACGCCCCGCATAAACTGGAGCAAGCTGTCGGAGGATGAGATAGTGGCACTTAAGCGTGAACGCCGCAAGCGTGACTGCATCTGCGAGCTGTGTGGCCGACATTTTACCTGCCCCAGCAACTTTAAGGTGCATCTGCTGCGGCACACGGGTGTCAAAAATTTCACCTGCAAACAGTGCCCCCTGAAGTTCTACACGCCGCACTTGCTGCGGCGCCACGAGCTGGCGCATCTATGTGAGAAGCCATATCCCTGTCAGTACTGTGGCCAAACATTTGCCGATCACAGCGGACGCATTCAGCACGAGCGCAAGTATGTGACCAAATATTGGCCAATTTATGCCCCATATATTATATATATCATATTATTTAACAGCCGCCATACGAATTATCGGCCTTATAAATGCACCAAATGTGACAAGGCCTTTGTGGTCAGCAACAAGCTCAAGAGGCACATGCTTAGCCATTCCGGCGTGCGTAGTTTTCAGTGAGTATAAAATAAATAAAGCCTGGAAACCCAAAGAAAACTCCTTGGTTTGGATTACGATTCGTGAACCTTGCTTAAATCGATTTATGAACCTACACTAGACTTAAGTTTTGATTTGAATCTTGCATTGATACATTTCTGATTTTGTAAATCTGCGCTTTTCTTTCTAAATTGTACAAATATCTATAAATGTCCACAGATTATTTGCTTACCAAGTTTTATTGACAACAGATTCGGTTCAAGCGCGTTCGTAAAGTTTCAGTCTGTAGACTTAATGCTAAGGTTCCCCAAACATTTATATTTAAATGCTTAAATTCTGTTTATCTATTACAGCTGCGAGATATGCAAAGTATCTTTTATGCGACGCCCACACCTGAATGCCCATTACCGTTCAAAGGGCCACGAGCAGAATGCACAAAATTACGCTGATTTGGCCAACAATGTGGACATCGATATAGAGAATGTGTTACAATAGAATCTGTAATTAAGCGTAGTTAGTTTGTAAGTCGTTTTAAGTTGCAATGACTTTGTTTAAGCTTATTTTAAGAGACATTTGTCAATGGTGTGCTGCTCCTTGCCATTTGAGAACTAATTTCAAATGCGGCTAATTAACTCGTTGTAGTTCTTGTTATGATTGTTTGTTCGATTTGAAAATGTCTGATAAAACGAATTCGAATCTCTATATGTGACTCCCATATAACAATATTGCTTACTATAATATTGCCAGGCAGATATAAACAGCTCCTTTGAGCGGACACCTAAATCTTAAGTTTGATTTTCGTGCAATTTCTTAAGCTAGAAGTTTTGTTATGCACACATATATTTTCGAAACAAAATTGACTGTCCGCCTTAGAGCTTTCATTTGGCCATTTCGTATACCTCATAGAATATATAACACATATTAAATTATGGCACTGTTGTTCTTTATATCTATCTTAATATATACTTGAATCATGAGCGCATTTCGTGACCATGGCAAGGGAGTTTTAAAATATATTAAAGAAGCATTCGTCGTCTAACTAATGTAAAAAATCTAGTATTAGAGATCATGAAGCGTAGCACACATAGTTTTTAAGTCGATGGAGATATTATAGAGATATATACATATTCGTGTACATTTCAAGTAAACATATCTTAAAAGTTGCTCTGGAAAAATGGATTCCCTACACATTATGGACATGCCCGACGAGTGCCTGCTGATGGTGCTCCAGCAATTGGATGTGATGAGTCAGTGTTACTTTGCGTTTACCTGTCAGCGCTTTATGTGCATCTACGAAATGATGCATAGGCAACATTTTCGCTGTTTCACCTGGTTCGAGCCGACCAACAATTGGACCGCTCAGCAGATTGAGGCATTTTTCAGGCTGAATGGCCACAAAATGCGCATGTTGTCTGTATCGGATTTGCATGACAAATATTTTGAGCAGCCGCTGCTTAGCAAGGCCAATCATATGATAAACGTGTGTGTGTATCTCAAGAACCTGCGCTCGCTGATATTATGTATTGATCACAAGCTGCCCGAAATAATTATTGAAGTTTGTAAACATTTGCACAAGCTGGAGAATCTGGTTATTGATTGTGCCAGTCATCCGAATTATGAATTTTTGGTTTTGCTAAGGCGTCTGAAAAGTTTGGATATAGATTATTTTGTAAATCCGCGTGACAAGCTATTCCAGAGATTTGCCGAATTGCGTCCGGATGCTTTGGAGCATTTACGCATTGGTTCGGAAATAACAATGAAGCAGGGCAAGCACATTGCTTATCTGCGTGGTCTTACGCTCCTGAACATTTACAATCCTTGCTATCATTTCGTTAACGGCGTTGTCCTTCAATTGGCCAACTTGCGAGTGCTTAGCATAACATCTGCTCAGCAATTGCGGGACCATGATTTCCGGCATTTGATCATGCATCTTAAGTTCCTGGCCACGCTATATGTCATTCAATGCCCGGATCTTGGTAACGATTTTATATTCTTTATCATCCAGTACTTGAAGGGGAATGAAATGCGGTCTTCCAATTGTCGTCGCTTGCCATTGCATCTGGAGCTATCCGGCACGTGTGTATCAGATGATATTAACGAGGTACTGTGAATACATAAGTTATATATGTACTTTAAATGATTATAGCACTGTTATTCTATACAGATTGAGCCCGTTAACTCATCAAATTCCATACTTAATGTTGTTTTGGTAGGTAATTAACCTTGTTCATATTTATCTTAATTTGAATCATGAGCGCCTTATCGATAAACGATTAAACTGTAGAAGCTGAACAAGGAAATTTGAGCAGGGTGGCAGCTCAGTTAACCTACCGTATGTCCGTGTATTGACTTAAGTGTATAGCGTAGCCAAAGTTGAGGCATTTTACATATTCTTGAAAACATTTAATATATTTTGTACGTTCGGTGAATAAGCTGGCATAAATAAAAACAGCACTTATTGATTATTTTAATGACATTTGAATTCTAAGCACAGAGAACAGTTGTTTAATGACAAAAACCTATTGCCTTAATCCAAAAAAAAACTATGATTTGCAATGTATTAAAAAAAACGCGAAGAGAAAGGGATAAAACAAGTTTACTAGAATCCGTAAGCTGGTGGTAGAGTTTACATTTGAATTAAAAGCGCCCTATTGAAAAGCGAGTCAGACGATGAGCAGGGAAATTAAAGCGATGTGGCAACGCTGCATGGCTGCGATACAGCTGATCTGTTTTTACAAAATGTCTGAGCGTGGCCCTAGTCGAGACATCCTATACGTATAATTTATTTTTTAGATTTAGTACATTATGCAAATTAAATCGATTATAAATATAAACACAGTGGGTCAGGCTAAGCAACTTTTGCCTTGGTGTTTTGTTGAGCACAGAATCCATTGCAAAAGCAGCTGCTAAAGCGTAGCCGGCTAAAAAATTACAACACCAAACAGAAAACGTGTTATGCTGATGCATGCTCTAATTATGTTGTGAAGTGCGTTTGAAACACGAGTAGAGAGGAGCTTCTCGAAAGCGAACCCCGAATCGACGACAAAGCGAGCGATTGGGTTTTCTAGCTTAACCAATGTGGCACTTCCAATGAAAAATCAATTCGAAATCGTTGGATGTTCTCAGTATTGGTTATTGGCCAGAATAACCCAAACACAGCTATAAGAAACCAAAAATAAAATAAACAACAAAAGACACCTAACAAAATAGCATAAGTTTTAAGCCCACACCTAAGTACATACGTATAGAAAATGGCAGAGGCTCAATCGCCAGCTGAAGAGCTATCCACGGAGGAGCCACTGACCACACGCAAGCGTCCACGTCTGGATGAGGAGCAGGAGCAGGAACTGAAAGTTGCTGGCTTTTCGCTCAGCGCCATTGAGGAAATGCGTCAGACACGTGACGCCGAGCTGCTATCCGAGCCCATTGATCAGCAGCTGCGCCAGTTTCAGGTGCTTGACGAGGTAGGCACCGCCAGTGAGGATGATGATTCAGGTAAGCGATAAGGGCGCACACAGTAGAGATTTACTATATGGAATACACATTCTTGTTGATTAGCCAACGACAGGCACATGGCCTTAGCCATAAAATGCAAAGAAACAGCTTCTACATGTCTTATCTGAAGATCTTACAAGAACTTATCATTGTGTAAACAATACGCCAAGGAGGCTGATAAAACTACAGTGGAAATCACATTTAATGGCCGCGAAAAAAATTTGGGCGTAGGTCGCCTTCAGCAGGGCCAATTTGTTGCCTTATCTTTAGATCTTAAGAGAGCAGCTCGCTTAGAACAACGCAGCACGCAAACAAATCGTAATTTGTCAGCTCTAGAGAGCTTTCACTGTAGTTTCCAGCCAGATTCATTTAATGGATGATTGTATCTACCGAGCGCATTTGCTTCAATATTTTCAAGCTGCTCGCAGCTGCAGCTCAATGAGCAACTTGTCTGTAATACGTGATCCCTAAGCCGTAATCTCTGAGCTGCTCGCAAACATGCGCATGATACCCATTGTGCGCCTGGAGCTAAACGAAAGGCTAGCTTTTCAATCAGGTTTACTTTGATATTCAATTGTATATACTTAGCTTATCTAAAACAGTTTCCATACACACTTCGCAGATGACAACAGCGACAAGCAGAACGGTGAGAATTATGCTGACGAGGAGGAGGGCGAAGGTGACGGCGGCGACTATGATTCTTCCGACTTTGATGATGAGGAAATTGAGAATCTTTTGGATGAAAAGCTACCCGAAGATCTGCGCGAATCCAAGCGACCAAAATACGAACAGCGCTTCAAGACTGTGCTTGAAGGTATTTGTGAATTATGATACACAGATTCAGACTGGTTTTATTGACTTCTTTCCGCACATTTTAGAGAAACGCCACAACCACTTCGAGGTGCTGCCGGAGGGCTGGGTGCAGGTGACGCACAATAGCGGCATGCCCCTCTTTCTGCATCGCAAGACGCGTGTCTGCTGTGCCGCACGTCCATATTTTCTTGGCACGGGCAGTGCACGCAAACATGCGGTGCCACTGGGTGCCATACCCTGTCTGAACTATCGACGTGCCCTGGACGAGGAAATGGAGGCAGCGGAGCAACAGCTGCGCAATACGGACAATGCGCCGACTACAGAGAACAACAATGAGGTGATGACTGCGGGCGTTTGTCCTGTAGCGCATGCAACAGCAAATGCAGCACAGCCCATGGATGTGGATGGCAAAGAGAACCAAAATTCGGCTGAATCCGAGTCCAAAACGGGCGAGACAACCACTGAGGCATTGCAGTCACTAATACCAGCAGCTAAAATTGTAACCGTCAATGAGAATACACAAAAGGAGTCGGTGACACCGGAGCAGTTGAACACGTACTGCCAGAAACTCTTCCGGTTCAAGGTAATACGCGTGCTGCGCTTTCGTAGCTGGAATGCACGGCGCAAGTTCACAAAAAATCGCAAGCATATCAAGAATATACAGCGGCCAACGCTGCCCGACGGCACCAAGCTGATCAAGTTTCCCATTTTGGCGGCCAGCGGTGCGGAAGGTGCCACAAATCCGCGTGGACGCAAAGAGTGGATCATGAATCCGAATGGCAAGAGTTTTGTGTGCATCTTGCATGAGTATGTGCAGCATGCGCTAAAGACGCAGCCCACCTATGAGTTCAAGGAGCTGCAGAACGCAGCTACGCCCTATTCGGCAACCGTTTCGGTGAACAATCTCAAGTATGGCACGGGTTATGGCACCAGCAAAAAGCAGGCCAAGTCGGAGGCGGCACGCGAAACACTCGAGATACTCATTCCCGATGTGAAGGACAAAATAACGGGCAATAATAAGGATGTGAAAAGCGGCACTGCCAAGAAAACCCAAAGCGATCTATCTGTAAGTGTGCCTGGCATCCATATCAAAGAACATATAATTAAATATTGCCTAATAGGTTTTCGATGACATCCGCATCGAGGATCCACGCGTCACGGAGTTCTGCAACAAGACCACAGAGCCCTCGCCCAATGCCATCTTGTTGACCTGCCTGCAGCGTAACTACGGCAGCGATGTGCAGATCACCCAGGAGATCAATCGTACGGCCAATAACAAAAACGAGTTCACGATGACTGTGGGCAAGCACACGGCCAAGGTGGTCTGCAAGAATAAGCGCGAGGGCAAGCAATTGGCATCGCAGGCCATACTGCAGGTAAAAGCTAGCAGAGTGTCTTAGAAATATGTCCCACAATGTCTAAGAAGATCTGATCTGCTTGACCTGTATCTGCAGCCAAGTCGATATAGGCTTGCCTGTCTGTCTGCTATAGCAAAATGTTGCAAAATTGTATCCCTATTTTATGGACTTTTATATGGAAAGCATTCATCAATACTTCCAAAACAATTGGTCGGAAAGAAAGCTTTACTAGGCAATTTAATCTTCGGTTTGCTGGGGAAAAATGTTCCTTCTTGTTTCTGATATTCTGCTATATGTCTGCAATCGTAATTAAATGTCGACACCAAGAAAAGATTGATTGTTCTGTATAATGTCTTTTAACTATTTTCTTCACTCTTCCGTAGATTTTGCATCCGCATATTCAAACTTGGGGCTCGCTGCTGCGTCTGTATGGCAACAATTCGATCAAAACGTTTAAGGAGAAGAAACTCGAGGAGCAGGAGATTACCGTGCTGCAGAGCAAGGCGGCTGTGAATCAACCAAACTATGCCATTCTCGAAAAACTCAAATCGGAGATGCTGAAGCTCAGCGCCAAGCACGAGGGTGTCCAAACCATGGGCACCTTTGTGCCGCCCAGTGATGTTGACTTGCCCACTTCCTCCGGTTCCAATTTGAACAACGTTGAATTATAGTTATAAAACACATAATCATCATTGCCGTCATTAGGTTTTTGGTTATTCCACTTGCATGACAAACTTTTACACAGTTACCCAATGTGATCCATTCAAATATGACAAACAGCAATGTGAAGAATGTGTATTGAGCTTAACAACGAGCTACACATACTCTTTAAAATACACTAACTTAATAAAGATCCTTACAAATTCAACATTATATTATATGACAAAATGGAATTAATAATAAATATGTGCGTTCCTTATGCATTATTCTTCCAGCATATGCTTGAATTTATTAAAGTATAATACGTCTAGACTATTCTGCATTTTAATTTCAATTCTCCTTGGTACTTATGAAACGAGACATAATTTTTAAGTGTTTCGTTTTTGACTGCGTGGAATGAACACGGAAACGGAACTGGGAAGTTTTTATTAACAAAGGAGTTGCCAATTTCATTAAGAAAAGTTTTTTAATAATTAGTTTTTATTTTGGAAAAAGCATAAAACACTTGAAGAATCGAAATCAGACATAACGCTAAACGGAACAGAACAAATTTTCGTTATAAATCGAGCTTTTAGAGTTGTCAGCTAGTACAAGAACGTGTTAATCAACTATAGAGTTGCCAATTTCATTTCAAAAAAGTTTTTTATTAGTTGGTCTTTATTTTGAAAAAAGCATAGAACATGTGAAGAATTGAAATCAGACATATAAATAAAGAGAACAGAACTGATAAAACAATTTTTCGTTATAAATCGAGCTTTCAGAGTTGTCAGCCAGTTATACAAGAATGTAAGAAAAATGCAAAAAGAACCGTTATTAAGCTTTGAAAATTACCATAAAATTATATTAAAAATTATAAGAGTTATATATTATAAAAGATGAAATATGTTAACGGCATTATAAAGATGAGACTACGCTGTGCAGGTGAGTTGCCGAACAAATTCAAACACATTTTAAAAATAACAATTTTACCTTAACTGGTATGTGTGTGTTAGTATATATATGTGTGTGTATTAATGTGTGCGTGCAATTATTTAAAAGACAATGCAGTCATAAATTATGCTACATTTTCATTTCATTCTAACGTTTCGTTTTTTATCGCATTCCTCGGACACACACACACGCGCGCATACAAACCGCGGCGAGTATAGGCAAGCGCAAGCCGAATTCGCCGCGCTGGGCAGCACTGTTCACTGCGCAACGAAAGAGCGCGCAGCATCAGGCACAAACGAAAGAAATTTACCGTTGCTCCTTTTGCCATCCAACGCCAGTTTCTTCAGTATTTGTTCGTTGCGCGTCGAGTGCTAAACTAGGCAGCTGACCGTGCCAGTGTGTAGTGCCGCCGCCAATTCCCGTATTAATTAAATCACATTTAATTGAAAACAACTCACACACACATACACTGCGTATCGCATCAGGTGGAGAAAGACAACAATTGCGTATATGCACGCACCCCTCCATCTTTGCCGCTTCTTTGCGTGTGTGTGTCTCAAGTGTTGCCAGATTTTATGGGCAAGCGGCATAATAGCCACAATTATACGCGTTCGCTACAAATTTGCCAAACAAAAAGTGGGTCTTCCTTGGCCAGCATAAAAAAAAATTAAATAAACGGGTATAAATTTCGTTGCGGCAGGCGCTGCCCCCCCCTTATGCCTATTGTGTTGCTCCATGTATCATCGCGTACAACCACACACACACACACACGCGCATACACACGCTCGCACACGCACACAAACACACACAGCCATATATGTATTTAGAGGAGCATTGTGTTTATTCTAGAGTGTCCGTTGCGCCATTCAAAAACATGTAAATTATGTAAAAACGCGTTTGGAATTTTGTCAACGCAACGCACGCATCTAAATCAGCAGCATTAGCGGCAGCAACAACAACAACAACAACAACAACAGGGACAATTACAACAACAAGGACAACAGCGTATAAGGTAAGCGAAGCGCATCAGGCGCCAAGTGTCAGTCAAATGTTGGAAAATTCAATAATCCGCCACAGGGCGCCAATTCAGCTTACCCCTCCTACCCCAACACACACACACACACACACACCACACACCACACACACACACCCTTGCCAGCCAATAGCATATCAAATGTATTCGCTTTGCATTCGTTGTCGTCTGTTGCGTCGGCCAAAAACTAGGTTGACTTTGGTTTTGCCTTGTTGCCAATTCGCGCAATTTCAGTTTTCTGTTTTCTGGTTTCGATTTCACTTCCAGTTAATCTCGCCTAAATTCATGTTAAACAATATGCCCTGTTGACACATTTTACCTCTTGGGCGATTTATATGTTTACTTTTATGGCGCCCGGCCTGGCAAAAGCCAGGCCGATATCTTTGCATTTTACCTCAAATCACAAAGTAAATACGTTTAAATTAAAAAAGAAAAAAAATGTATTACATGGCTTCAGCCAAGCTCTTTCGCTTTTTGATATCCTTTAAATCTTAAAATCATTTTTATTCTTTTCAATTTACTAAAACATTGATTCGACCACATTGAATCTTGACCAAAAACTGTTAGTTTTCTCATCGAGAATATTTCATAAATCATTTAGTTTTTTTTTTTTTAGCGAGAAATTTTGATAAGAAATATATTTTGTTTTAAAATATGAACAAATATATAAAAATCTATAAAAAGAAAATGGGGCAAAATTGCAGATTTTAAAATAAGCTTGAGATGCAGTAAAACGCTAGAGTTACTCAAAGTCATTTTTTACGATAGAGCAATGCGTTAATAATTTAATAAATAGTCCCTTAAAACATGTATTAATAAATATAATCGAATATAAGATAAACTAATCGCCATAATATAACAAATCAGTTCCTAATAATTGTTTAGCTGCGCTGCCAGCTGGACAAGCGGCGGGGTTTTCTTAAAATATTTAACATTCAAAGACCTACAATCATGTCCAAGGTTCAGATGGTCTAAAGCGATATACTATCTTTGGGCAGTTGAGGTTTTTGACAGCTCACAAGTGCAGAATTAGGCCGAAATACAATTTTATAACAAGTTGATAAGAAAATAAAAGTAAATTGTTTTATAAATAGAAACCTATTCTAATTGAATAGTAAGAAAAAAGCTTAGGATTGATAACTGGAAGGCGCAAAGTTTGTTGTATCTGTTGTTGTATCAGTCTCTAGCTGTGGCTCCAAAGCAGCTTTGCTCGTCTCGAAGACTTGCGGATCCATTTGTGGCTCAGTGTGGACGGCAGGCTTTGGATTTGGTCTGCGTGTGGGCATAAGCATGCTCTCTAGCACACCGAAGGGTGCCTCCATAATGATATACATAACGTAGGACAGCAGCAAGATAAAGCCAAAGCCGCCCCAGAATATCAGCATCTGTCGATGGAATATATATCGAATGAGTATTATACGGAAGACTCTTTTGTTGTTTGTACGAATATTTCCCCTTACCACATCGTAGTCGGAGAAAAAGGTGCTCGTTCGCATGCGTCTGCCATTAATTTGCTGTACGAAAATGTGGAAGATGTAGGCCGTGTAGGAGATCTTCGAAAGCGGCTGCCACATTGGAGAAGAGAGAAAGCTATTGGCCAAACCACCGTAGCCCCTCATGCAGGCAAACACCACCCAGCACAAAGCCAGAGGCCAAGCGATGCGGGTCAGTGTATAGTAAAGGGCCTCTTCCAGCATGGTCAGCACCGGATTTCTCCAATCGGCAAAGGGATATAGCACAAATAACGAGGTGAAAATCAAAGCCAAGCACACAACCCAGCCCAGCCAGATCTTAATGCGGTTCAGTTGAAACGTTCTGTTGCGATTCACATGCAGGAAATAGCCAAAGAGTAGCCCGATTAGCCAAGGAGCTGCATGTGTGTGGGTGGCATAGTAAAGCTTACGCTGAGCCTCATCTGGAGTGAGCCCGATTCTGTGCGGAAAGTAATACAAGGCATTTGCATTTATACTTAGCGTATTCATTCTGGACTTACTCCAAAAATATAGGATATCTCTTGATCATCATCGTGCTGAAGAGGCAGGCGGAGAGCAGAAGCATGAAAACAAATATTCCAGCTGCGGCTTTCTTGCCCCACTTATACAAAGCGAGTAGAAATATGGGTGAGAGTATATAAAGCTGCATATCCACAGCTAAATACCAGCTATGATTGATGCACTAAAGAGAGGAAAAGATGGGTTAGGTTCATAGGGTTGCTTAGTTTCTATAGAAGTAAAGCTTACCAGATTTGGAGTCGCATAGTTTTGCAAGTAGAGCAAAGTCCAGAACCAGGTGCTCTTGCAATGATTATAATCATCGAATTTAATGCTATCAAACAGGGGACCATCGCCCAAAAGTGGAAGCAGTTTCATGTACACGAGTATGGCCAGGGCCACAATGGGCGTGAGGCGCAAATAACGATGGAGATACATCAACGGAATGTTTAATCTTCCCTTGGTTCTGCGAAACAAAGAGTAGCTGGAAACTAGGGGATTTGTGGTCCACTTTAAACTTACTTTTCCAAGGAACGCATAGAAATCATGACTAACAACAGGCCACTTAGAAAGAAGAATGTGTCCACGGAGAACGTACCATGTAGGACAAGGCTTGTGTACGGATTTTCGAACCACTAAAAGAGAAAGCAAAAGTCTTCAATAGAAGCATCCGTATTTACGCAATCAACAGCTGGGTAACAGCTTACCCATTTCAAGCGAAATTGGTTGACATTCGGCGCTAGCAAGGCGAACAGGTATTGATGTCCAAAGATAACCCAGATGAGCGAGATGCAACGCATGCCATGGAGACAGTCGATGACATTGGGATTCGAATTGGGCTCCACCAGGCGAAAGAGCGCTCGGGAATTGGCACGTGCCGAGAAGATCTTAATCAAGGCAGGCAGTTGCGCTGCGTGAGTTAAAGATAATGAAAAACAAATACGTATGCTCTGTTCGAGAATGTCTAACTAAATCATACCCTGTAAATGGCTGCATTCTTTAGCTGCGTCCGATTGTTAAGCAATTTTCAAGGAGACGTTTCAAAACTAAGATATTCTTAAGCTTATTATGTGAAAAAATAGCTTGTGCTTAAAATCGATGGCTATCGATTTCGTATCGTATCGAATTATCGATTTATTTTAGGGAAATCGGTTGGATTATCGATAACTTGAGAAAAATGTTTCATTTTCCGTGGCATACGGAGGACACAAAGACCGAAAAGCTCGTGAAACGGACAGCTGGCAGGGCTCAATTGAATCAGTTTGTCGTCTGACTTATTCTGCCAAATTCTTTCTGTCTGTTTACCCAACCGCAATGTGTATTGGGTATAAAAAGTATGGTCTATTTGTTTTCTACTTACTCTGATCCTCGCAATAGAAATAATCATAGATAGTTGTCAAGACGACGCAGGCAAGCAGAAGCGAGACTAAAACACTGTTAAACAAAAACTTGAAACTGCGATTGCGTCTGACTGATTTGCATACTTACATAGTAAATATGGTTAGAGCGTCG